GAGTCCAACAAATCCCTAAACAGATATTCATTAACATATTATGAACTCAGAAACTCAGTCTTTTACTCAAATGATCCAAGTTTTACTTTTTAACGGATTAAACAAGCTTAAATCATCAAAATGACAAAGAGGTAGTCGTGGTATACCTCCAAGCTCCAAAACTCCAAAAATGACACTGACTTGGAGCCCCCAACACAGCTCCAAGGTTCTGCCTCTCAAGAACTAGGAAAATATAACACAAGCTTGGACCTTTCACTCCAAAGGTGGCTTCTTGAAGCCTCCAAGAACAAGAAAATGGTTCCCTCCATAAAACTCCATAACTCAACCCTCAAATCACCACAAGTTAGAGGCTAAAACTCAGCAAACAAGGACCTTTCACCTTCCCAAGGCTTGTCCTCACAACACTCTACAATTTTGGTGAAGGAACTAAGAGCAAAGGTGATCACTTTGGTGGAGTTCAAGAAGAAAATGGCTATGGAATAGTAGAGGGAGGGTGGCAGCTGATGAAGACCAGAAAACTCACGTAGAGGCAACCAAAATAACCTAGGTCTTTGTGCCACTTCGCTATTTATAACCGTTTAAGTTTTAATCGCACTGTGTTAGCGCTAATAGCTACGCTTATCATTTTAATCTCAAACTTGGGATTCTGAACCTAGCCATTTTTCTAGGATTTGTCATATTTTTATTTTATTTTTCGCAGCACTTTTCCGATACGCGCTTTTACGAAGCCAATATCAGTCCTGACACCAGTTCTCATTATTTTAACTTCAAACTTAAGATTCCAGTCCTAAATATTATTCTAGGAATATTTTCACACTTATTATAATTTTTCGGGATACCTCATCGGTACGCACTTATACCGTGGAGCAGAACCGGTATCTGCACTTTTCGTCAGAAAAGCGACTTTCAACATTATTAATTACTTATTATAATTATTCAAGCCTTCTCATAATTATTAGGGTAAATTATGGAATTATTTCATTAATCTCATAATTATTTATTTAATTTTCTTAATTAGCGGTGCGAGTTCTTACACATCCTATCATTTTTTTATGATCATCATAAGAAATGTAATCACTTTGATGACATATATTATACAATTCATTCACTTATGTTCACTATATTTATTTTCATATATAATCATATGGTTTTTAAATAATACTTCATTGCCCAAACTCTGTTCACATGATTAAATTATGACCTTTTTTGACGCCTATTGTTGTTATGACTTATAAATCTTCAAAAAATTTCCAAAACACCATATGTTTTGTCAAAATATGTATTGATAACTTTCACCATAAACTTCACCTAGGTTTGAAGTTCATATTCAATAACAATCATGAACCAAAACACCATATGTTTTGTCAAAATATGTATTGATATCTTTCACCGTAAACTTCACCGAGGTTTGAAGTTCATAATCAATAACAATCATGAACCAAAGCTCTCATATCAACTTATTTTTAAGAAACATTTCAAGTGTCAATGACAAATTAGAATTAGAGATGCCTCCATAATTCAAAGCTTGTCATACACACCCTTTTAAAGAAGAGTAAATACCATTTTCGGTCCTCAGCAAATTTTATGATACCCACTTTAGTCCCTAGCAAATAAAAAGGCTATTCGTGGTCCCTAAGAAATTCAAAGTGAACCCATTTTAGTCATTTTGAGGGACTAATGTGGGTCTTTTTTGAATTTATGAGGGACCATGATTTCAATTAAATGGGTCAATTTTAAATTTCTTAGGGACCATGAATAGTCTTTTTATTTGCTAGAGACTAAAGTGGGCATCGTAAAATTTGCTGAGGACCAAATATGGTATTTACTCTTTAAAGAAAGTTACATTTCTCAATACTAAATTTTCAGTTCATGATAATTATAGAACATCATGAGCCAAATTTAGTTTAATTTGTATGAAATTATTTTTAATATCTATAAGTTTAAAAGTTGCAAAATACTTGATTTACAAAAGAAATTTACAAATATCTTCATGGACAAGTGGAGCTTATAAAGGCCTAGTCTAGCTATATTCTATCAATTTATTAATAATTAAAGAATTATTTTTCAAGACATTTCACGAGGAAACAACCTAATTATTAGATATAAAAAAATACAAGAAATATGACTATTTACTTATATTTAATATTGCAATACATTATGGGTTCATTTGGTGGACAAGATAACAGAGGTAGGATATGATAAGCTATCATATTCTGTTACCATCTATTGTTTGGTTAACTAATATGGTATGATAAGCTTATATTGTTGACATCCTATCCACAACATGATAAGCAATCCCAAAGGGAACTTAGATAATAATTCAACAAGATATGATAGGAAAATTTCCTTCCCAAATCAATTCTCATTAAGCTTCCCTAAGAATATGATAATCAGCCATGCCATTGCCACTAGCTATCCGCCACCGCTATGGCCACCGGGCAACTAATACCACCACCACCAACCACCAATCAACACCACTGTCATTGCTACCACCTCCACCACTAGCTACCATTATTAACACCAACCACTGCCTTCACCACCATGACTTGAAAAAAATTTCATTAAATTGCACCAAACAAGAAATCTCTAAAAAATTATCTAATAAGGATATAATTTTTTAGAGGGAGGTTATATTTATAACTTGTTTTCTCTTAGGGCATGTTTGGTGTATAGTATAGGATAAAGCCTGATAGTATAAGGCCTGATTGTATAAGACCAATTTAATACTATCTAGCGTTTGGCATGATAATGTATAAAATAATATATTGTATAAGATAATATCATATAGTATTTGGTAATACACTTTATAATACTATATAGGATAAAAATGAATATTTTTAATAAAAATATCATTTAATAAAGAATTTATATAATTCTTCAAAAAATATCATATGATATTAATTTTTATAAAAATCTATTGATCAATGTGTCCAAAAAATAAATTAAGTTTTATAAAAATAAAATATTCAATATTTTAAAAATTAATATATTAAAAAATTAATTTTTATTTTAATATATTAATATTAAAATAATATATTAATTTTTGAGAATTGCACTAGTCAATGATGTTAATACACTAACCCCTTATCAGGCCTAATCCTCCCTCTTAAGCCGGATTCAGTTATACATCGTTTTGATGTATTAAGGGATTTTGCTGTATAAGCTTATACTATACGATGTTCACACCAATCAACTAAAAATGTCATAACGTATAATATAGCTTATACTATCAGGCCTTATACGTCACACCAAACAAGCCCTTACAACCATCTTTGTAATCATTGGATCAAAATCAAATCAATGGCTATCACTTGATGTCTTTTTATAACCGTTGCTTTGATTTTTATACAACGATAATAAATGTGGTTGTAAGAGAAAAAATTGTAAGTATAACATCTTCCAATTTTTTATTTTGAAATTTTTTTATAAGTTCTTTTATATTTTTTTTTAAAATTATGATTTTTATATTTAAAAATAAAATAAAATAGGAACTAATTTATAAATAAGTCAAAAGAAAAAAATTAAAAAACAATTTTTATGAAACCTTGTTATAAATGATATTTTTATCTATTTATATTATATCCCGACATTATCTAGTTTCCTTCAAATACAAGATACGATAACATAATCATATTATGCTGTTTTTTTTTTTTTTGTAATTATCATAATGTTTATTTAGTGTATATCAAACATGAGATATGATATAAGCTTATTGGACCTTTATCTTTTCCCATTCTTATTCCGTCTTTTTATCCGTTCGTCCTTATCTTATCTTATCCGCTAAATGAACCCGATAAATTTTCATATAAAATATTTAATATGAATATTCTTTTCAAATTATTTCAACAATGCATGGTTTTCAAATTCTAACTATAATATTAAAGCATGACAATTGAGAGGTAATTATTTGGAGCCCTTCTTTTGAAAATTGTTATTTATATACTTTAAATATATTTTTTTCAAACAATAATCTTGTTAAATATTTAAAATAATAAAAATGGGGAAGGTTATATTTACAATCTATTTTTGTTTATAACTTCTTACAACCATATCTTAACTGTTGATTTCCGTCAATCAACGGTTAAGATTTTTGCAAATTAAATTTATTAATTAATTATTAATTCACAATAAATGACAACCGTTGATTGGCAGAAATCAACGGTTAAGATATGGTTATAAGAGTTTGTAAACTATTTGAGTTGTAAATATAACCCCACCCAATAAAAATAATATTTTCATAATAAAACCCATTTTTTTATTCAATTATTATTATTATTATTATGAGAAAGGTTATACTTACAATCATTTTTTTTACGACCTCTTACAATCATATCTTAACACCGTTGATTTTCGTCAATCAACGATTATTATTTATTGTGAATTAATAATTAATTAATGAGTTTAATTTGTGAAAATCATAACCGTTGATTGACAGAAATCAACGGTGTTAAGATATGGTTGTAAGAGATTGTAAAAAAAAAAGATTGTAAGTATAACCTATCTCTATTATTATTATTATTATTATGCGAAAAGTGTTTCTCCGGTCACCGGAGATAAAGTTATCTCCAATGAGCTCAAAACGACGTCGTTTTGGGTTATAAGATTAAAAAATTATAATGACAAAGACTAATATAACCCTGCAATATATTATAATTATAAAAACACATCGATTTCCACCATAACGACGTCGTTTTGAGCTCACTGGAGATAATTTTATCTCCGGTGACGAGAGAAATCCTTTACCCTATTATTATTATTATTATTATAAGGAGAAATATTCTTACTACCAGAATTTTTTACTACCAACTTACTACTTATCTAATCACCATTGAATCAACATTTTCTCTTTTTTCAAAAATTTTTTAACATTTTTTCTCTTTAATTCAATGGTAATTAGATAGGTAGTAAATTAGTAGTAAAAAATTTTGATAGTAAGAATATCATGTTATTATTATTATGTTCTAACTTTTGAAGTTCATGAAGTGATAGAGAGAACTCATAAAGGCAAAAAATGAGAGGAGCCGTACATGAGTAGAAGTACAGCTTCCACCTTAAACACTCCGAAGATGTTTGTCGCGTTGGTACTACTACACTCACTACTGCTACCATCACCATGATTGCTCCGTATATATAGCCACCAACGTAGTGAATCTATTTTACAAAATCCACGCAATCCCTAAATTGCAATCACCATTTGTTTCTGTTTCTGCTTTCATTACAATGGCTAGGGTTCCCTCACCCTTAGCCTCAACGGCTTCCACCATCAGAGCCTACGCGCTTCCTCTTATTCTCTTCGCCGGAGCCATGTTCTACCAACTCGTTCTTATTCCCAATTCATTCCCTCCTTCCCATTACGATGGTGACTCCTTTATTCTTTATGCTTCTTTCTTTTTATTTGTGTGTGTGTGTGTGTGAAATAATTTTTCTTGTCTTTGTTTCTGGTGGTTGCAGTTCTGCAAATTGAGAGGTATAGTTCTGTTGAAAAAGTGAAGGATGCTTACGACAAGCTTGAATCTAAATGGTAATTAAGTTATATCTCTTTGGATCTGTCAACAAATGATGTTATTGTTGTCATTTTTATTTTTATTTTTTTGGCATTTGAAAGTGTTAGCTGTGTAATCTTGTTATTGTACGGCGCAAGTGTGTAACGGATATCCTTATTCACTGCTTGAATGATTTGGAACATTTAGTCTTAAGCAGTATTAATGGGGTAGGGACAAAGGGGTTGATGGTAGTTAAATGTTTGGTATGAGTTGTGGCATTGTTTCTATAATGCTCGGTGCTCACTGTACTTAGCATGAGTACTGTAGCTTTTTTTTTTTTAATTATATTTTTTTATTTCGAGTTTCTTTTTTATTCAAGTTACCTTAGATGGGTAGGTGAGATTAGATTGCTGTTAATTAGGTTTTATATACTACGTAAAGGTGTTTAATGGCTATAACAGGGGAATTAAGATTCTTTTAGTTAAATAATTTAAATGAAGAACATTGATTTTTGTTTATTATGTAGATTGTTGAATATTTTGACCAGTAATAGTTTGTTCTGAATGTGTAAAAACTTTTGTGTGACATCCTTTTGACATTTTATCAGCATGCTAATTAATGATCTTATGACACTAGTTACATGGTCTTTCAGGAATTCGGCTGTGGAAGTTTCTGATATTAATGAGTTTTTAAAGGTTAGTTTTGAAAGATCATTTACTTATTGCATGATAAGTGTAAAGAACCTTGGGATACACCACCCCAAAAGCTAGCTCAAAGGGTGGGAGTGCCCAAGGTCTTATAAACTCCACATTCGTTACTCATACTATTGAGATATATAGTCCCACATTGGTTGTATGAGTAACGAATGCGGAGTTTATAAGACCTTGGGCACTCCCACCCTTTGAGCTAGCTTTTGGGGTGGTGTATCCCAAGGTTCTTTACAATAAGGAATATATGTTTAGATTAATTCTGGATAATTCCTAAAATAGTATTGGAAGAGGAACAGCTATGTGGTCATGTGAAATGAGGATCTATTAAATATGGCTCAAACACTCTGATCAGGACCATTCATCTTGGCTGCAGCTTTGTCTTAATCTAGTTTAAGTTTATTTTGTTGGTTTTGAGATTCAATTTATTTGCTTAGGACCAGTTTGATTCTTATTCAATATATTATACTTTATTGCTTATAAACTGGAGACTGTTGAATTCATTTGAACATTGTTATGCCTATAAAGAGATCTTTTCAATGCCCCAGTCTTGATAGTGTCTCTTCTGCCCTTATTGGATGAGTGATGATTGAAGAGATGAGGATTCAATGCCTTCTCCCCTGTTTTCGACCTCTGGAGCAATCCTTCTCATACTTATTAGTAGTCTCTCGCCCGTATTCTCCTTATATTATGCTCTTGCGATAAAGATTGAGATTTGATTTTAATTTGAAATTGATAAAGAGATCTTTTCATATGTATATTAATCCCATCATCATGCTTGTAAAGCAACGGATCTGCTAAAATCAGAGATATTGACATTGTGAACTGCACCTGCCTTAAAAAGTTGTTGCAAATACTATATGAGAAGTGGATATCTTATTGTAACTTAAAATTTTGTGGTCAAAGTAAAAAACCATCCAGTTTTTCTTCCTGCATGCAGGTTGAACCCTGCTTGCAATGTAACTCCTCTGAAATTGATATGCTGAAACTATTTTGGATATTATAAGTACTCAAACATGTTATAGAGGGGTGGAATTGCATTCATGGGAGGGGACTGTAGTGATCTTACTTGTATTTTGGTATTACTGTGTTCTTTATTTGATGGCTGTCCGTTATGACACAAGTATTGTGGATTTAGTATGGTTTTGTTGTAATTTTCTTTGAGAGCATGGTTTACAGATTCGATATGCGTATGAGTTGCTGACAAATCCTTTGTGGAAAAGAGACTATGACATATTTGGCATTGATGAACAACTTGTGAGTATTTTTTTTGCTTCCATTAAAACTCATGTCTGTTTTGTAAGATCTGTTCCATGAGTGTTTCTTGTATCGTTGATTTACTGTCATCTCAAATGTTTTTCAATTAAATGATATGATTTTCTGATGGTAGCATATTGTTGAGAGTGCCAGCAAGCATTATGCCGGGAAACATATTTCACAATTGGACTTCCCTTTACTACATGCCCCTTCTTCTGGTTAGTTAAGACATTCATCATAATTGATAGGAATTTTGTGTTGAAGTTTTTCAAAGGATTTGACATGGAAGTTCTTTTAATGATGCATGAATAAATTTTTTTACCTCTCAGACTCTATAGATCATTCTTCTAAAGTCATTTCTGCAAGTGACTTCCAGTCTATATTTCCAGATGCAAAGCCATGGCTAATTCAGGTACATTCAGTGTAGAATATGCTGGTATATTGTAATTAATGCAATCACGGTCCAATTTTCTTTCATTATAATGAGTTATTATTATTTCATGTTTTGTATAATATAACTGAACTAATATTCCATTAGCACTAATAATCTCCTTAACAACTGCATGAAACTATTTTTTCTTTTTCCATTTGAATTGTATTTAATTGAATGAAAATTTAAGTTTGTGAAATTGAGTTGACTGTTAAGTTTTGCACTTTTCTTTTGATATTTCTTGGTGCCTTAAGTATTGGTTTCTTAGTTTTGGTCACTTGAGGCCACCCATTGAATTATATTGCTTGTTTATAGATTAGATATTTGAATTATAATCCTAGTTCAGTATCTTCTTCTTTTTTATAGAAAAAGAAACTAAATATTCCACGTAAACATATTGTTTTCATAATTACAAATAAGGTAAATGTTATTTGCTGTTGCTTCCAGAATGCAGCTTTTTTATCATTTTAATCGAGGTAGGATATCAATAATTTGTTCAACCAGAAGATGTTATTTATTTTAGGGATATTAGAATTATTGTTAGCATTCTGTTCATTATTCTAATTTCTAACAACATGAAGGATTATAGATGCTAATAATTTTTTTAAACTTAAAAAGTTATAAAATAAGATAGATTGCAATCTGTTACGAACCTTGAGGTCACCATCCCAAAAATTAGCTCAAAGGGTGGGAGTGTCAAAGGCCTTATAAACCCCACATTAGTTTCCTATACAACCAATGTGAGATTCGTAACATTGCCATTCCCTTTAGGGGTTGACGTCCACGGCGGTTTTCACTCTATCGACACTGACCCGGTGGTAGCCCTTTCCTTTTTGGCGGCTTCACTTATCTATATCAGGATTTAGTACAATACCCCTTTCGGAGGTATGACACCTTAATCCAGCCTATAGGTAGCCCTTTCCGTGGTTTCAACTCTCAATGAAAGCACCAATTGTTATGGACCTTAAAGTCACCTTCTGCTATGCCGAAACTGCTATGCTATGGTTTGGTGTAGCTATTGCAGCCAAAATCGTAGGCTACTGCTACTTCGAAAGCAAGGTAAAACACCTCTTTAACCATGTATGTTCAGTGTCCCCGCCATTGTTGTTAAAACGCCATCTGTACGATCTTTTGTCTAAAAGCGACAAGGAGGTTTGGACAGGAGTAGGATTGTAGTGGAAGATCGTAAAATCGGTTGGATTGTGCGATCCCACCATTTCCACAATTATGAAAATATTAATATAGTGTCTCATCCCTGACTTTTTTTCTTATGAAGACTGAAATTATTTAGGCTTCTTTGATTAAATTTTATCTCTGTTTACGGTTTATTGGCTTTTTGTGAATTTTGAATTTTATCTTTTTGTTTGGCTCTGATTTTGTATGCATAAATATTATTTTTAATAATTAAAATTAGGAATGTAAAATCTTACGATCCGTGTTGATACCACAATTTACGATCTTGTTAGCCCTTCGGCCTTCCGATCTTAAGTAAGATCTCGAACCGGACAACCTTGGTCCCTGCAGCAATATAAGGGTAAAATCAAACTTTCAACCCCTTTTTTTCTTGTGTATGTTACTGTTACAACCTTCTTCTCACAAAACCCTATGGAGCTCTCTTGTTTGGAAGACTCACCACTCTCTCATCTCACCGACTCACTTCCCTCTCTCTCTCTCTCTCTCTCTCTCTCTCTCTCTTCTATTTCGGCATGCTCACACCACTCGCTGGCTTGGCAAGCCGTCCGCCATGTGGTTCCGTATTCGGCTCCTGAGTTTGCAGTTTGTTCCTCTGTTCTAGCTACTGCCTCTGTTTAGTACGTTGTTCCTCTGTTCCAGTCACGGCCTTTGTTCACCTGTTCTGGCCACTGTATAGCATTTTTGTGGACTTCATGTAGCAACTATACCACTATGCGCTATAGCGTGTCTGGGTCGGCTGCTACATGATGTTATCCGAGATTGATAAGTATTCTTTTACTACACTGCTTCAAACATAAAATGGGGGAAACCAGGTGAAATTTCCACCAGATGCATTTTATATTTTGTAATGCATTTGTGAGACTGTAACTATGTGTGTTAGAACGAGATGGAACATAACATATTTGTTTGTTTTATGTTTGTTACATTTTAAAATAGAACAGAACAGGACATGGGATTAAAAAATGGTACATTTTGGTTCCACTGAAAGGGTGTAACAAAAGAGAACAAAATACAACCGAAGTTCAATTCTATTTGGTCTGCATGTCAAACACTACGTATATGTTTTTGTAAATGATTTGTTTCCCATCATGTTGTCTGAGGATTCCAAAACTATGAATTATGTATGGTCATACTTGTAAATCTGGAAGACATTCATTAGTTTTCACCGAGTTCTCTTTTTGGTTTTGTGTTGTCTCTCAAAAGATAGATTTGATTGATCTTTCATGTAAAGACTCTATCACCATTTCTGCCTTATTCCATAATCTATACCTAATTTATTCTTTAAAAATTTCTGACTTGATATACATACTGAATGTATTTGTTTCAGTTGTATTCATCAGGGAGCAGACATTGTTCTCAGTTCTCCAAGTCCTGGAAGAAGATTGGTATGTTATTTGAACATGAACTCCTGGCATAAAAAAAATCTCTATGCATGTGATATATTGCTGTGGAATATGGAGATAATGTTATCAGTTTCTATCTAATACTTAATAGCATTTAATTTTCTTGATTGTAAAACCAGGGAAAGAAAATTCCCTTAAAAAGTAGCTGAAAGGTAATATGAGAAACATGAAAGTTTGTGTCATAATAAGGGGATAAAGCTTGTAGTTAATGAAAGGCTGGGCATTAGTCTCTCTCTCTCTCTTTTTCTTGGGCAATTTTCCTTTCATTTAAAAGATTATATTGTTGTGTTATTCTTTTAATTTAATTATTACATGGACTCATTCTAGTTGATATCCATGCACTTTGTTATGTTGGTCACCAATTTAAGGATAAGATTATTCTGATTAATTTCTCTGTTTTTAGCTTCTTTATTGGATTCTGTTGCAAATATTGGAATGGTGGAACTCGGTGAGATGGAGCTCGCCATATACCTTGCTGATAAAAGATCAACAGGAAAACCTTTCTTCAGAAATGGTATGTACTCAATGCAGTCAATTTTCTGTTTTCTGCCTTTTGTTTCTGTTTATCTTACAGCATCTGCGTCAGAACATCTATTGCCCAGGTTTAAATAGTTGTTTTGTTTGACACTCCTGTTATATATGTAAATACAACACACTAGTATGAACGCCTGATATAAGGAGCATTCTTTACAGAATTTACAGTTGTAAATTCATTGTAAAGAATCAAAGATTGTATCTGTTTTACCTAAATCAGACTAGTTGCGGATGTGCTGTTAATTCTGAATATGTTTTGTGTCAATTTATACTTGTATTATAGACTCTATAGAATTTCCTTAGAGCAAATTTATTAACTGCATTTGTCTTCATATAATTTTGATAAAACTGCATTTGTCCTGCATTTTCCTTAGAGCGAAGTAATTGATGGTTTCCTTGTATGCTGACTAAAGATAAATTCAAGACAAAATTTGCCTTATAACCAACTTGAAAGAATAGTTTAACTTTGAACAGAAAGCAGTGAAAGACCCAGAAATTATGATTTGTGGGGACAAAGCCAGTATATAAAAACACAATTTCATAATTGAATTTCCATAAAATACAACGAATTTCACTCCATTACTGCTCAAACACACCAAACTTCAACAAACTAAGCACACTAAATTCAGTTCATGATACATAGAAATTTTGGCACTGCAAAGACAATTAATTAATAATGAGAACATAAGATAAAATGTTAAAATCCGAGGCAACAAAACTCGGTGGCTACTTGCTACCTTTTCACAATTTTAGCAATCTTCAAAAGTTAAAATAACCCATAATTTCAGCAAGCAACAATATGGAAGATACTGTTACACTGCTACAAGTCCACAAAGCCACTAATTTATCCATTGTAAACCAATATATATGCACTAAATTCAGAATGGTGATGCTTACCAGGCTGTGGTACTCAATGCCCACTGCCCAGAATGGTTTCAGCAAGATTGAGAGAAGAAATCCTTGGCCACTGTTCACTATCCAATGCTACTACCATCCATCACCCAGGAGCTGAGATTGAGGATTTAGGCGCTGCAAATTGGGTTCTTGCTGTTTGTGGCTGAGAAGATTTTTAGAAGTGGAATAGGGAATTTGGAAGTGGTGAACGTGAAAATTCGGATTTGTTGAATTTAAATGATCAACCTTTTATTGGGGTCAAATTTTGTCAAAATGTAGGGGTGGGGGAAGTTTATATATAATAGTAGTTTTTTTTGAGTGAGTTGGGGCATGTAAACCCACACCCACCAACATGGGGCCATCTCCGAGTACATATATGTTCCTCTGAGCAGTGTTACTGGAAATGCATTATGTGAGAAGTGTGAAGTTTTTGGAATTTCCTGTAATTTTACTTGATTTACAAATACATGTTTTGCGTCTTATATGGTAGATGATTTTCAAATTATAGGAGAAAAGGATTGTGTGGCTTGTCTTAACGTATTGAAAAAATTTGTCCAGGAATTCCATCTCTCGTTGCCATTCCTCCCGGATGTCGTGCTGCAAAATGTTTTAGTAGGTGAGTTTCATTATAAGACCGGGGTTTTATTTGAAGACAGGCAATTACAATTTTGTAAATCATGTGCTTAGGATACTTGCATGAGTCATATTCTACTGCATGGAGTTATTATACATGATTTATCTCCCTGTTAGGTTTGATGGTGAGCTTACCGTTGATAATGTTACAAATTGGGATGGTGATCTTACCGTTGACAAGGTTACAAATTGGTTTGCAACAAGCATATTGGCTTTACCTCAGATTAACTACTACTCAAAGGAGTCACTGGTAATTTGCCTAAACTCTAATGGATCATTCTCTTTTATATAAATATGCGTGGTATTTTTTTTTTCCTGTAGCATTTAGGTGATGTAAGGAAATTCCTTGAATAAGTGAACATCTGTTGTGATCATGGTTGAGGAATTACTATAGTATAAAATTGGGTATGAACAAGCTTGATTATGTTTCCTTGTCTCCCCCTAATTTTTTTATTATTTAATTTTGTTAGTTTTGTATTTTTATTCTTGAATCTATACGGAACAAGCTGAATGTTTTGTTTCATAAACCTAGCCTAAATTGCTTAGCTCTTTATATATAGAGCACTGTTTTTGTAAGTTGAAGTAAGCACATATTTGGTTTTACTTAATTTTCATACAAAAATTGCTTTTGGGCCAAAAGTTCTCTCTTTGGCATTTTGATTTTAAGCTTTTCTAAACACAATAAGTTAATCCAAACACACTTACTTTAGGATTTGAGCGGTATCAAGGAGATTGAAGTTTCTTATTTGAAACATTCTAGAAAGAAATTTGTTAAGACTGGAATTAGAAATGAATAAAAGAAAGGACAAAACACACTTTTTGGCCCAGTAAACTGGATTTTCTGATAGATTCAAAAGAAAAGGTACAGAATTGCAAAGTACAAAATGACTAAATACAAACCAAAGGAAATTAACAGAAACAGTAGCTCTGCTAGACTAATTACAGAATATCAATGAGGTGGGTTCAGTACTTTTGAGAGGTACTGATCTCTCCCAGGTTTGATTCCAATTCCAGCCTGCTCTCCCTTCTAGCATTCCCCCCTCTTTCCTGTGCCACCTCACCAACAGACCCCCTCTCCCTCTCTCCTCTAACAGAATTATCTTCTAACAACCTTTTTTCCAGAATATTCCTTTCCAATGCTAAGTCACGTACTGCAAATGATTCCCTGCGACGCTTTCTATAGTATACCCTCAAAGGGTTTGTATCAAAGTTCAATGGCTTTTCTATCTTTTGCTCTTACAGCATGCTTGGTTTTGATTATATTTGGGGGGAAATAATAGCCTTTTGTTTTCGAAAGTTCTCTTGGGCAGTTTTTGATTATAAGATATTTCAAACATAAATAAGCTAATATAAACACACTTAATAATAAGCTCACGTCAGATTTTCTCCTGTTAATTCCAAGGGTAGAACAGATTCTCTATGTTGGATCTCCTTTCTATACTGTAAAAATTGATCTACTGACTCATTTTTAAAAAGAAACAAAATAATTGTTTTACTAGCTCAAGTGTGTGGAATCGGTCTTCACTTAGACATTTAGATTGAAATCCTTTTAAACAGTTTTACTTAGGCTATGTTTCAATTGATGCAAAGGGATGGGCTGTCCTTTAGCTGCCATGGCTGAGTTTCCGGAGTAAGGCAATGTGTTTGAGCTTCCTAACATAATTTTCCTCCTACTATCTTCTCTTTTTGCCTCAAAATACTTCTAGAATCTTTGGTAGTGAGTTGGTTGCAAGAATCCTCCCATGTACACTTCCTCAAGGTTATTATTAAGTCCAAGGAGGAACTTCTAGATCCTGTCTTTTTCCATAAAATTTCTGTATTGCTTGCTGTCTTTCAGGGCACTTCTTTTTGACCTCTTTGTAAATGTCAAGCTGTTGTCAATATCGAGTAAGGGTGTTGAAATATTGAGTGACAGTGGAATCCCCTTGCTGTAGGTCATGAAGCAGACTCTTGATTTTAAAGATTGCTTAGGTGTTATCCACGTTTGAATTAGTCTCCTTGGCTACGTTCTGTATCTCTTTAGCACTGCTGTAATACAAGAAGTTTTATTTGATCTCATTGGTCATTGTGTTCAGCAGCCATGACATCACCAGACTGTTCTCAAGTCTCCATTTGTGGTTGTTGGGATTATCTTTCTCCATTTGTTTCGCATTACTGTTGATGTACTCTTCCTTTCTCTTTCTTGGGAGAAATATTGAATGATCTGGCCCATTGGATAAAGTTCTGGCCATTCTGTTTATGGCAAATGATAGGTATAACAGGGCCTTCAATTGGGTTCATTATGGCAGTGCTACCAATCTCCGATCAGGGTACCAACTTTCATTTTCTACTCTCCTGTTCGTTTGCCATGGATAAAGCAGGGATGGAGTTTGTAGTCAACCATGGCTCAAATCGTTCTTTGTTACCATAAATAAAACATTGTATTTTCCTTATTCTGTTGATTACAAGATGGCAGCATAAATAGGAAGGGTGAAGGTTTTACAGTAAAGGCTGCACACTAATCTAGGCCTAGATAATTAAGAGAGGAAATTTTTTCCTTAAAACACAGAAGGGAATCCCTAAAACATGGGAGCTAATAACTACACCTAGCTGTATATTAGAGACAGAATCAGAAGATTCTGTCATTTCCCAAAAATCAGGAACCTGTCTGTTCCTAGAAATCAGGCTAAAAATAAGGAATTGATCACCAACAATGTCCTATTTATCCCCTCCTAGAAAGATCTTTTCTCCTAGTGGTATTTCCTGAACTAAACCTTCTAAATCCTCCCAAAATTTTATCTTTTGTTGCTCTTCTATACCTCTGCTTGGGTTGCATACACCGTTACACACTAATAATTATTTAAAGTATCTTTTTCCACTACAAACGTTGATGCTATAATCCTATTGCCGACTCTTCTAACGTCAACAACATTATTCTTCCAAAATCTATCTTCTATTATGCCCAACCCATTTCTAGATCTTACCTTTTTTGTGTACCAAAGTTTAAAACCTGAAGTGTTTGATTCCTTAGCCTTATCTCCAACCCACTTAGTTTCTCGTATGCACATAAAACTAATCCTCCTAATCACGATGTCAACAATTTCCAAAGTTTACCCATGAGTGTGCCAGTATTCCCAGTTTCAAAGAGAATCCTACTCTTGTGTGATCTAGCTTCTTTACCCACATCTGTTCAGGAAAATGTGGTTCTTGTCTACTTTTCACTACATCCGGGCGCCAATGCAGTGGCTCTCACAAATTTGGCACTCTACTATTCGAGCTATACAGCGCGATACTTACAGGTAATGACTCAGCATTAACACAATCACATCGTCTGTCTGTGTCATGAAGACTTGACAAAGTTTTATGTGGCTGTTGTCCGCCTAACACAACATTCTCTTTTATCCAGGCTTGGGACTAGCTATGTAAAGATTTGCGACAATGCATAAATGGGTTTGATAACTGATTACCAAAAAAGAAAGTGATGACCAAACACATTAATAATTCTGGTTTTAGTTTTTAGCTTATGGAAGTAACTATTTAATCAAATCCTGATCAATATTTTGTTATGATTTTAAGGAAACTGTTTTTAACAAAATGAAAATAATGTTCTTTTAATATATAATTCAATTCTGTTAGAATAGGAAATATAATATGTATAGATTTGTATAGATTGCTTTCTTATTTGTAAATATTCTTTTCCTATTTAGGATTTGGATTATGTCTGGGCTTCTCACTTAAGCCCATTAGGGTCTCTATATATTGTAACTCTTTGTATCAGTTTTATATACAACATATTATTTTATATTCAAATTGGTACCAGAGCTCTTTTGTTCTGGGGACCCTTGCTTTCGCTTAAGACCTCGTTCTTGCTTTAAAACCTAAGCCCACTGCTTAGGTTTTCTCTTTTTCTTTGCCGTGTGTCCTTCCGGCAAGTGATCTAAGCTGTGAGCCCTTTCAGATTGATTTCCGTACCTGTCAGAACCACCGTCATTCACTGTTCCCGTCACCGGAGAACTTTTCCGGCGACGTTTTGAGTCGGGACACCTGCGATCTGCTCCTCCTCTCTCCGGTGACCTGTTATGTGGAAGACCCACCACCGTCGCATCCTCCACACTCCCTCACGCGCCGTCTGTTTCCTCTGAGCGTGGTGCTCACGCGCCATCTTCCATCGGTGCGTGTGCACTGTTACAGCGTCCTTTTCTGGCCGTTCCAGGACAGACAAGCTCGCCCTCTCCTCCTCTTTCCAGATCTGTGGTTGGTTCTTCGTGGGTCTCACTTTTTGTGTGTGCTTCTTCTTTATTGACGACCAGGTTAGTTTCTATTCACTTGGATATGTCCTTTGTGATTTATTTTAATGGCAGAATCTTCTCCTATTCAATCGGAGATCAATTCTCCTCCTCGTCCTACCAAAAGTTCCTCAAGTATCATCTCCACCAATGTTGGGCCTATTACCTCCTCCAAACTGAAGGGTTCTGTTAATTTCAAGAAATGGGCCACCTCTGTTCGAGTCTGGTTCTTTGGACAGGGACATGGGCAACATCTCAAAGCTAAATCTACTGATATTTCTATGGAAGAAAAATTTGATTGGGAAAGGATTGACAACCAGCTTCTGAGTATCCTTTGGCAGTCTATTAATCCAATCATTTTGGATATTTTCTATTCTTTTCAAGCATGCAATGAAGTGTGGGAGGAAGCAAAACACCTATACACTAATGATGTTCAGCAACTCTATTCTATCATGTCTCAGTTTATGGATTTGTGCAAATCATCTGACACTCAGATGGAGACATATGTTGGCAAAAGTCGATCTTTGATGCAAGCATATTTGGATATGTTGCCCTACCCTACTGATGCTTCTGCGTATAGGAAATAAGTGGAGTGGCTCTTTATGGTTGCCACACTTTCTGGTCTTCCCGAAGAATATTATAATGTTCGTGATACTATCTTGACTTGTGGGGATCCTGATTTATCAATGACATATCAGTGCTACCCTATTGATGCTTCTGCGTATAGGAAACAGGTGGAGTGTCTCTTTATGGTTGCCACACTTTCTGGTCTTCCCGAAGAATATTATAATGTTCGTGATACTATCTTGACTTGTGGGGATTCTGATTTATCAATGACATATCAGTGCCTTCTGAACCTCAATAAGAAATCTGCTCTTGCATCATCTTCTGTTGTTGATTCCATTACTGACCTTTGCAGGAACAATGGAGGTGGTAGTGGTAGAGGCCAGAGAGGACGTGGTCAGGGCGAACGTAACCTCGTTGTCATTATTGTCAGCAACTTGGTCATTATGAGGAGCGTTGTTACACAAAGTATCCTCACCTGCGACCCTCTCATGCTGCTAATATAGCTCAGCCAGATACTGTTTCAACTGGTACAATCTCTCTCTTCTGAAGACTATGCAGCACTCCAGACCCTTCTCAGGAAGGCTTCTCCTGAGTTTCACCCTTCTGCTTCAGAAACTGGTAATCCTGTTGCTTGTGTTTCTCATTATACATTACTTGGTCCTTGGATATTTGACTCGGGTGCTACTGATCACCCGTGGTAATAAGGAACGCTTTACATCTCATACTTATTCTGATCATTTACCCTCTTTCGCTCTTGCTGATGGCATTAAATTCCCTGTTCATGGGATTAGACAAGTTTTTCCAACCTCTTGTTTGATCTTAACATCTGTCTATTACATTCCTGACATCCCTTATAAATGATCAACTCTCTCACTTGCATTGTTACCTTCTCAAACCATTCTGTTTCTGTGCAGTATCCGGGTACGGGGAAGACGTTTGGAGTGGGCCGTGAGTCATGGGGACTGTTCTACCTGGTTGTGCCTCGTCCTTCAGTTGCTTGTTCTCTCCACAACTCATCCACAGTCGCCTCGGTCATCCTAGTCTTTCAAAACTGCAGAAGATGGTTCCTCTTTTATCCGGCCTTCATACTTTAGATTGTCAGTCATGTCAGCAAGGGAAGCACATACGCTCCTCCTTCGCCAATCAAGTCAATAAACGAGCTGATGCTCCTTTTTCAATTATTCATTCAGATATTTGGGGTCCAAGTCGTAGCGTGTCTCTTTTAGGGTTTCGATATTTTGTTACTTTTATTGATGATTTTTCACGTTGTACCTGGATTTGTTGAATGAAAAGCCATTCTGAGTTATTCTCTATTTATCAAAAATTTTCTGTCGAGATTCATACTCCATTTGGTGCTTCTATTCATATTTTACGTAGTGATAATGCTAAGGAATATGTTTCTATTGATTTTTCTAATTTCATAGCCACACAGGGTACTTTACATCAAACTACTTGTCCTCACACTCCACAACAAAATGGAGTAGCCGAACGTAAAAATAGACATCTCATTGAAACTGCACGGACTCTTCTTATTCACATGCATGTTCCTCTTCACTTTTGGGCCAATGCAGTCTTTGCCTCTTGTTTTCTCATCAATCGCATGCCTTCATCTGTGCTTAATAATGACATTCTATATAACTTGTTGCTTCCTGATGCTCCTCTCTATCCTCTATCCCCATATGTCTTTGGTTGTACCTGTTTTGTTTATGATCTCACTCCTGGTAAGGACAAGTTAACATCCAAAGCCTTTAAGTGTATTTTTCTTGGTTATTCTCGTCTTCAAAAGGGTTATCGTTGGTATTCTCCTGATCTTGAGCATTATTTTGTTTCTGTTGATGTCACTTTTCTTGATCAACAACTCTTTCATTCTATCCCATCTCAATTGTCACAGGTGTTCTTCCTGTTCCTTTTCTTGACTTGTCTTTACCAGTTACAAGTAACTCTATTTCAGATGAGCGATGTATTGCTTCTATATCCGAGGACCATCCATTTCTCATCTATCAGCGTTGTAAAACTGTGCCTCCCGTTGACTCAACTCCGGCTGACTCATCGCCCTCTCTTGTTGATTCTTCCCCTCCGGCTCCTTCACCTGAGGCTCTTCCCATTGCCCAAAGAAAAGGTATGCGTACTACTCGTAACACTTATCCTCTTTATACTTTTTAGAGCTATGACCGTCTTTCTACTCCTCATTTCACTTTTGTTTTATAGTCTTTCTTCTGTTTCTATTCCTAAGACCACAGGTGAAGCACTTTCCCATCCTGGGTGGCGCCAAGCGATGCTCGATGAGATGATTGTGCTTCATTCCAGTGGCACTTGGGATCTTGTTCCTGCTCCTCCAGAGAAGTCTATTGTTGGTTGTCGCTGGGTCTTTACTGTCAAAGTTGGACCTGATGGCCATGTTGATTGTCTCAAGGCGCGCTTAGTTGCAAAAGGTTTTACTCAAATCTTCGGCCTTGACTATAGTGACACATTCTCTCCGGTCGTTAAGATGGCATCCGTTCGCATGTTTCTTGCTCTTGCTGCTGTTCGTCACTGGCCATTCCTTCAACTTTACATCAAAAATGCTTTTCTTGATGGTGATTTACAAGAAGAAGTTTACATGGAGCAACCACCTGGCTTTGTTGCTCAGGGGGAGTCTGGGAAGGTGTGCCGACTTCGTAAATCCTTATATTGTCTCAAGCAGTCTCCTCGGGCATGGTTCAGTCGCTTCAGTTCTGCTGTTCAGGCTTTTGGCTTAATCCGCAGCAAAGTTGACCATTTTGTATTATATAGGATCATATCTCCTGATAAGTGCATCTATTTGTTAGTATATGTTGATGACATCATTCTCTCTGGAAGTGATCAAGCTGGAATTCGTTAGTTAAAACAGTATTTGTTCAGTCAATTCCAAACAAAGGATCTTGAGAAGCTGCGTTACTTTTTAGGAATTTAGGTGGTATACTCTAGACAAGGCATTTCTATCTGTCAAAGAAAATATGCCTTAAATATCCTAGAAGAGACTGGTATGTTGGGATGTAAACCAGTTGATACACCCATGGATCCCACTATCAAATTATTTCCTGGACAGGGAGAGCCATTATCTGATCCTGGTCGTTATCGGAGGTTGATTGGGAAACTCAATTATCTTACTGTGACTAGGCTGGTCATTTCTTTTGTTGTAGTACGGCTAGTCAGTTTCTTGACTCCTTTTGTGATTCTCATTGGGATGATGCTGTGAGGATCTTTCGATACATCAAAGGAGCACCATGAAAAGGTTTGTTGTATTCCGATAAAGGAAATACATAAATTTGTGGTTATTCAGGTGCTGATTGGGCAGGATCACCCTCAGACAGATGCTCTACTTCAGGCTATTGTGTCTTCTTTGGAGGAAACTTAATTTCTTGGAAGAGAAAGAAACAACCTGTTGTTGCTCGATCTAGTGCAGAAGCTGAGTATCGTGCAATGACAATTGCTACCTGTGAGCTAATCTGGTTAAAGCAGTTGATTCAGGAGTTTCCTCTTTGTGAACAGAAGCAACCCATGACACTTATTTATGACAATCAAGCTGCACTACATATATTCTCTAATCCTGTATTTCATGAGAGAACCAAACATATAGAGATTGATTGTCACTTCATTCGAGAAAATATTCAGTCAGGAGAAATCAAAGCAGCTTTTGTCAACTCCAATGATCAACTCGCGGATGTCTTCACTAAAGCTCTTAGAGGTCCTCGAGTTGAATACATTTGTAACAAGCTTGGTGCTCACAATATATACGCACTAGCTTGAGAGGAGTGTTAGAATAGGAAATATAATATGTATAGAGTATAGATTGTTTTTTAATTTGTAAATATTCTTTTGCTATTTAGGATTTGGATTAGGTCTGGGCTTCTCACTTAAGCCCATTAGGGTCTCTATATATTGTAACGCTTTCTATCAATTTTATATACAACATATTATTTATATTCAAGTAATTCTATTAACTAAATGAAAATGATTTTCTTTTAATATATAATTCAATTCTATGTGAGAGTCTTCTTGCAGTAGTTGTACAGGTTGTTCATGTGATATCCAATGAATTTGACAGCTAACTTTTATTTAGTTATCTTTTGTTGTATTTACTTGATTTGCTTTTGGCATTTAAATTTGTTTACTGTGTTTGAGTTTCTATGGTTACTGATTGGAAGGTATTTGGGACTCTATTTATAAAATTTCAGGTGCCAAATTTTTTTGGAAAAAGTAGCCATCATAAGGTACAATTTCATTGCTCTCTTATTATTGCCATATGTTCCTTTCTGCTGTTTTCTTCCGTGATTTTCTTAACACAAATACTGTTTTTTTTTTAAATTCTCCGCTGTTTATCTTCTTATATATTCTTCTTGTTATACATTTTTGTTGATTAAAGTTCAAATGTCTTATTTAAGTTTGGTGGCCAATTTTTTTGGGGAGAATTGCTATTTGGGAATTCATAGCGAAAATATTTATAATTATCGAACACATTAACGATTTGTCTTATTAATTGTTCTGTAAGTGCCTGTTTGGCATCTGGAATGGAGCATGGAGTTGGAGGTTAGAGTTGGATTTTGGCCTATTAATTCTAATGTTTATATTTGGAAGCCCTTTTAGAATCAGAATCATAATTCCAAATGACAATTCTATGGAATTACAAAATAACTGGCCCAAACACTTTCCAATTCATAGCCAACAACGTAAAAATTGCCAATTTCACATGTACGAATTAAAATTGTGCTCAACCTGAAAAACAAAAGATGTGCCTCTCCTTTTTCTATGGTGGCACTGCATGGGGCAAAGGCTGCGGGTGCATCATATGTTTCACCATGGTGGAATAGAGGAACAAAACGTCAGGGAAATGGGGAGTTAATTGAGATTCTGGTGTTTGGAGGAATGGGAATTCCTTGGCTATTCATAGGAATTGATTGAGTCATTGGGGGTGGTAGACCAGTTATAATTGACTGCTGTCCCGAAGTCATTGGCATCGGAGGAGGGGGGCTGGACGAATAGAAGAAGGAATCATGGGAATGGTAGGTGGTCTGGGTCGAGGAATTGGAAGGTGGAGTAATTGGAAGGCCACTACTGTTAGGAGCAGAATACTGGATTGCATTGAGAGGAACACGAGGAAGATTCAATGCTAGTCCAGGTGGTGACGGAAGAAGGATGGACTGCAGGCGTAAGGTCTTGGAGGAAGTGCAGCAAGACTAGGAAGGTTCTTTGCTTCTATTGAATTGTATTTTCTAATTAAGGAAGTAGATGCCATATTTAGGTGATTGTATATATTTTGTAATTAAGTAGGTACTGATTTGTATTTTCCATAGTATTAGTGAGTGTAAATCTTATATAGAAATGGATGGAGCTGTGAGGAATTCTCAAGCCATTCACAAAAATCTCTTATCAAGAGCTTGAGTTATCCAGCCATGGGAAACCCTAAACCTTTAAACAGTCCAGCCTCGTACCCAGTTCCCAGTAGCAGTCCAGATCTGCTCAGAAATGTCCGGCACCCTCTGACTATTTACTGGCCACAGCCCGCTGCCGGCGATGCCTTTTCGGACCAAAAACCCCTGGATTGTCATTCCAGCTTCTTTCCTTTGATTGACTCCCTTCTAGAGATTTGTTTTTATACTTCCTTATGTTACATGATTTGCTTCCTTATTTAATTAGGATCAAAGAACACATAAACATCATTATCAATATAGTTTTATTATTCTGAGTATCTCTTTCCTTTCTATTCCTCCTTTACTGCCTAAATCCATGTAGTTTCAACATAATTTTTCCTTTTCATAAATACCTATATATCCTTAATGTTTTTATCATTTCATTAATTTATATTCAAAAAAATAAGTTGCATAATTAATTACTTGAAAAATTAATATAATTTTTTTATAGTTAATTGTTAACTATTGTTATTAAACAACCATTCAGTGTTTGTTATTACTACGTTAAAAAAACTTATGTTTTTTGGTAAGAATACTACACAAGTTTAGGCATATAAGATGCCATACCAAACATTGCAATTCTACATTATAAGCAATCTTACACAGACACCTCAATCTTAGGCGTTTTAGATGCCTAATCTGTGTACTGAATGTCTCCTTAGCGAGTTTTCTTTTCATCTTTTAGTCTGAGGCAATCAGCTGGTCTATGCTGCCAATATCTCATATTCCGATAATTTATTCTCTTTTGGTAATGTAAAGGTGAATGTTTATTATCAAAAACATTCCATGAAACACTCACGGTTGTCTTAACCTCGTTTACATGCTCTTTGATTCTGTATAACAATATTTGAATTTATCTGTTTTAATTAGGGTTTACTTTTTGTGGACCATGGCTTATAGGTAAAGGTCATCTTTTTCTCAAAAACTGGGGAGCGTGCTGCTCCATTTATACGACAAGTAGCTAAAGACTATTGGGCTTATGCTTCATTTGCATTCATTCTCTGGCGGGAAGAGGAATCTTCCTATTGGTGGGGAGGGTAAGTGGCAATTTTCACAAAATCTAAATCGGGGAAACATCATTCTACATGTTACTTTTTCCATGTAAAGAAGATGGTGCTATGAAATTATTTTATAATATTCACCACCTTATTGACTCATTGCTTGACCTGGTATGAATTGATTTTGTTTTATTTGTTTTTTATTGTCAGATTTGGGGTGGAATCTGCACCTGCTATAGTATTTCTTAAAGACCCAGGTGTCCAACCTGTTGTGCACCATGGTCTGCTTCTTTTTCATATTGTTTGAGAACCATTTGAATATATACTTTTGCTCTTAATTTAACTGACTATCTATCTGTGCATTGTGTGCTGCAGGTTCAGTTAACAATTCAATTTTTTTGAATATGATGGAAAATAATAAAGAGCAAGGTAGATACAGATTTATTGTTTGGATTGCCCAGTGATTTTGATACAATTGAATCTGAAATATATTGTATATTCAAGTATATGAGTCTGTACAAGGAGGCTCTCTATTTATAGAGACTAAAAGACCTAATGGGCCAAGCCCACAATCTAGACTATTCTAGACTATTCTAATAATAAATTAATATTATTTCTAACACTCCCCCTCAAGCTGGTGCGTATATATCAAAAGCTCCCAGCTTGTTACAAATATGATCTATTCGGGGACCTCTAAGAGCTTTAGTGAATACATCCGCAAGTTGATCATTGGAATTGACAAATGCTGTCTCGATCTCCCTTGACTGGATCTTTTCTCTAACAAAATGACAGTCAATTTCTATATGCTTGGTCCTCTCATGAAAGACTGGGTTAGAGGATATATGCAAAGCGGCTTGGTTGTCACAAATGAGCTTCATAGGCCTTTGTTCACAGAGATGGAGTTCCTTCAGCAATTGACTCAGCCAGATGAGCTCACAGGTTGCATTTGCCATTGCCCGATATTCTGCCTCCGCACTGGATCTGGCGACCACAGTTTGCTTCTTACTCTTCCAAGAGATCAAATTTCCTCCGAAGAGAACACAATACCCTGAGGTGGATCGTCTATCTGAAGGAGAACCTGCCCAGTCAGCATCTGAATAACTAGAGATCTCTGAACTCCCTTTATTTGTATATAATAAACCTCTTCCTGGCGCCTTTTTAATATATCGGAGAATTCTAATAACTGCATCCCAATGGGAGTCACAAGGAGAATCAAGAAATTGACTTGCAACACTCACTGCGAAGGAGATATCTGGCCTTGTCACAGTAAGATAATTCAATTTTCCAACTAGTCGGCGGTAGCGACTAGGATCTGGCAGTGGCTCCCCCTGTCCTGGTAATAACTTAACATTGGGGTCCATAGGTGTATCAATAGGTTTACAACCTAACATGTCAGTCTCATCTAGGATATCCAGTGCATACTTCCTCTGACAGATGGAAATGCCCCGCCTAGACTGTGCAACTTCGATCCCTAAGAAATATCGAAGTCTGCCAAGATCTTTGGTCTGAAATTGATTGAATAAATGCTCTTTCAACTGATCAATCCTGGTCTGATCACTGCCTGTAATGATAATGTCATCAACATAGACCAGGAGATAAACGCACTGGCCAGAAGAGTTATGCCGGTAAAAGACAGAATGATCGGCTTTGCTTCTGATTAATCCAAAGGATTCAACAACTGAACTAAAACGGCTAAACCAGGCCCGAGGAGATTGCTTCAGGCCATATAAAGATTTCCGAAGTTTACATATCATTCCAGAACTCTCCCCCTGAGCAACAAAACCTGGTGGTTGCTCCATATAAACTTCCTCCTGCAAGTCACCATGTAGAAAAGCATTCTTAATATCAAGTTGGAGAAGGGGCCAGTGATGAATGGCGGCAAGGGCAAGAAACAGGCGAACAGAAGCCATCTTAGCAACAGGAGAAAAGGTATCCCCATAATCAAGACCAAAGATCTGTGTGTATCCCTTGGCCACTAAGCGAGCTTTAAGGCGATCAACAGTGCCATCAGGACCAACTTTAACTGTGAACACCCATCGACAACCAACAACAGACTTCCCGGGAGGAGCACGAACAAGATCCCAAGTGCCATTGGAGTGAAGTGCCTGCATTTCATCAAGCATCGCCTGGCGCCACCCTGGATGAGATAGTGCTTCACCTGTGGTTTTAGGGATGGAAACAGAAGAGAGACTAGAAACAAAAGTAAAATGTTGTGAAGAAAGTCTGTCATAACTCAAGAAAGAATAAAGGGGATGAAGATTTCGAGTAATTCGAATACCTTTCCGAAGGGCAATGGGAGGAGTCTCTGATGGAGGATCCGGAGGAGAAGAGCCGACGGGAAGGGGCGATGAGTCATCAAGAGGCAAAGTCGGAGGAGGTGCAGGCTGACGACGCTGGTATGTGAGGAAAGGACGATCTGCAGGTATGGAGGTAATTGGTTGCTCCTCTGGAATAGGGTCACCTGCAGCTGGTAAAGACAAATCAAGAAAAGGAACATGAAGGACCTGATCAACTTGGGACACTGGAGACGGAGTAGAGTGAAAAGGCTGCTGATCAAGGAAAGTGACATCAGCAGAAACGATATAACGCTTGAGATCAGGAGAATAGCAACGATACCCTTTTTGAAAACGTGTATACCCAAGGAAAATACATTTGAAGGCCTTAGATGTCAACTTGTCTTTACCTGGAGTAAGATCATGAACAAAACAAGTACAGCCAAAAATATGTAAAGGCAGAGGATAAGAAGGTGCTCCGGAAAACAAAATACTGTGGGGAACATCATTATTTAGCACAGAAGAGGGCATGCGGTTGATAAGGAAACATGAGGTGATAATAGCATCTGCCCAAAAACGGAGTGGGATGTTCATATGAATGAGAAGGGTACGTGCAGTTTCAACTAGATGTCTATTTTTACGTTCAGCGACTCCATTTTGTTGTGGAGTGTGGGGACAGGTAGTCTGGTGTATCGTCCCTTGTGTATCCAGAAATTTAGAAAATTCAAGAGACACATACTCTTTTGCATTATCACTGCGCAAGATTTGAATAGAAGCACCAAATTGAGTTTTTATTTCTGCACAAAACTTTTGATAAATTGAAAATAACTCAGAACGATTTTTCATTAAATAAACCCAAGTGCAACGGGAGAAATCATCAATAAAGGTGACAAAATACTGAAAACCCAAAACAGACGTTGTTCGACTCGGACCCCAAATATCAGAATGAACGATAGAAAAAGGAGCATCAGCTCTTTTATTGACTCTATTAGCAAAGGAGGAGCGAGTGTGTTTTCCTTGCTGACAAGAATGACAGTTTAAAGACTTAAGATTGGATAAAAAGGGAACCATATGCTGAAGCTTGGAGAGGTTTGGATGACCCAGACGGCTGTGAATTAGCTCAGGAGACTCTGTGAGAGAACAGGCTACTGGAGAAGGTGGTGCAATCAGATAGTAGAGACCTCGTGACTCAACGCCTGCTCCAATCGTCTTCCCCGTACCCGAATCCTGCATAGAAAAGGATTGTTTAGAGAAGGTAATAGTACATGAATGAGAATGAATCAACTGGCTAACAGAGATTAAATTAAAAGGAATGCCAGGTATATAATAAACAGAACTCAAAGTTAAAAGGGGAGTTGGGTTGGCTTCCCCAATTCCACGAGCAGGAGCCTTAGTGCCATCAGCAAGAGTGACAGGGGGTAGGTTATTAGAATAAAAAAGTGAAGTGAAGAGATCTTTATTACCACAAAGATGGTGAGTAGCACCTGAGTCTATTATCCAGGGTCCAAGAGATGATTGATAAAAACAAGCAACATGATTACCAGTGTCTTGAGTAGGATGCTGAGAAGAAACCTTCTTGAGAAGTGCCTCATAGTCGACACTTGAAAGAGTTACTAATCCAGTTGAAGGTGGCGTAACATCAGTTTGAGCAAAGTTGGCAGTCGGTGGCTTCAAATGAGGGTACTTCCTATCGCAGCGTTCTTCAAAATGCCCAAGATTCTGGCAATAATTGCAACGAGGCCTCTGTCTGCGGCCACGTCTGCGACTGCGTCCACTGTTCCAATTGGAATCACTGGCCCGAGAAAAGAATGGAGATGGGGTAGTACCGGAGATGATGCCAGTCATGTTTTTGGACGCATTATTTGAGCCCTCCATCACAAAATAAAAGGAGATGACCAGAAAATAGCAAAGAACTACAAGAAAGCAAGAAATCGCGCAAAAACGTTGCACAAAAGTGTCCAAACAGCGGGTTTTTCACTGATATCTTTCAAACGGATGGGACCCACAACGAACGGAGACCAGATCTGGAAAGAGGGTGAGGAGGCGAGCAAGATGGTGGTGGTTCGGCCTGGAACGGTGGCCGGACGGTGGCTCACGCGCCGGAACAGTGGCTCGGCCGCCGGAGACTTCCACCGGCGCGTGGATGCTCCGATTAACACGCGGCTTGGACAGACAGGGTCGCCTCCCTGAGCCTCTCCTGATCACGTGGTGGTTGGTCGGAAAAGTCGCCGGAAAAGCAGTCTGACGACGGTGAACAGTGGCGGACGGTGGTTTTGTGGCGGTTTCCGGCGATGAACGGAGGCTGACGATCTTTTTTCTGATGATACGAGGTTGAGGACAAGAAATTTGTGACTAAATAAGGGTTAGGTGTGAAAGGATGGTTGCCGGTATGATGCACGGCAGTAAAAAGAAAGAGAAAGATATATATGCGGAAGCAGAGCCCTCAGATCGAGAGCTCTGATACCAAATTGAATCTGAAATATATTGTATATTCAAGTATATGAGTCTGTACAAGGAGGCTCTCTATTTATAGAGACTAAAAGACCTAATGGGATGACCTAATGGGCCAAGCCCACAATCTAGACTATTCTAGACTATTCTAATAATAAATTAATATTATTTCTAACAGATACTTACAAATTTTATTAACAAAATTGTCATAACCTATAAATTTGACTAAGGTGCGTTAGGAAGAGATGCAGCCATGAATTTCATAAATGGTATATTGGAGTGAAAGGGTTGGGATGAGTGGAGAATTTGCGTATCAGAGCAGTGCATCAACTTCAATAGTTCTTGAGAGTTGACAAATATAGTTCTTGCCAGAACAGTTGATGTTATTGTTATGTGACCCAGAGGTACATGTTCGATTTGTATGATCAGCCTCTTGCAAATGCAAGGTAAGGCGGCCTACTATTTACCCACATAATGGGTTTGACCCTTCTCTAGACCCTACACATAGTAGGAGCTTTATAGCACAGCCTGCCCTTATTATTAATTTCCAATTTTATTGGAATAAACTAGAGTTTTTTAGAGAATATAATACTCCATTCCTGCATGAAAGATACATTCTTAAAATTGTAGACAATTTTGGTATCTGGTTCATCATAAAAGAAATGAAGGAAAAAACTGATTGGACCCTAATTTCTTAGGGAATGACTTTTGACTTATTTTTGTACTTCTCATCTAAATGCATAATCTGTTGACATACTATAGGTGTCTTTGGGGTATCATGTCATTATGAACTTCATATGACTACGAACCACTAAGTGACTACTCCTGTTCACTTTATACAAACATTCAAGGGCTCTCTTAGTCTCTCTGTGTTAGTGAACTCTTTTGATCAATAATAGATGCATGATACTCTACTATCACCGTTTGAGTTTGTATATGGTATGTCCTTGTTTATGTAAATTATTTTCCATCTGATACACATTATGTTATTCTATTCAAGGCATTATAATTGGGTTTTATTAGTCTCCTTTCACATAAGATAGTTATCTTATGTTGTAGAGAGAAAATGGGTGGTTCCACCATTACAAAAAAAAAGAAAAAGGTGGGGTGTGAAAATCGAAGTGAGAGAACATGAGATAAGTTATCTTATGTGAAAGGCGAGTAATATTTTCCATTATAATTATGGATTTTTGTTTGAAAGTTAGGTCCTTATTGTATTATTCAGAAGTTTATGGGATGAAATATTTTCTGAGCCCTAATTAATCTGCTGCATTTTCTTCTCTCCTCTCTTTTGCCTTCCAGAGCTTCCACAGCTAAGGAGTGTGACATCAATGGAGCTAGGCTGTGATCCCCATGGCTATTCTCGTGCTGGATATGATACAATTATTTGGTATTGTGCTATTGCAGTAGGAAGGCCGAGCCTGGAATTTAACAAAATGCGTGAAGTATGTATTTTGTCTTTGTTTTGGACATAATTTCTATGAAATGTTCCACAAAGTAGGTGCTAATTCATCATCTACATTAAGAACTATGCTAATTTCGGTTCCTTACAAAAGTCAATAACTGTTGCGGTGTTGCCATTTTTTGGGGTATATGGGTTTTGATCAGGTTCCTAGTACAGTAGATCTGTGGCTCCAGATTTAGATTTTTAGTTCTTTGAAATGTGACAAAGCAGGTTAAAATTTGTGTATGTTACACATCCTTTTGTTATAAGTGATTAGTTTTCTGGATAGATGCATAATCTTACGAAATTGGCTATAATTTTTGTTGTACATTTTTTTTGGTTATCATTTTTCACTGCTTATACTTTCTAGAGGTAGATATTTGTCTTTTAAACAAGCATGTATTCATCAAATTTGGCAGATTTTGTAATTCAGCACCGTAGACTATGTGCAGGGTCCAAGAAACTTTGTCTAAGCATAGCGAGGTTGATGCATCATCTGAAAATCAATCCTTAGCTCCAGCTGTGGATGCATTTAAGAGAAAGCGGTTGACATTTGCTTGGCTTGATGGTGAAAAGCAAAAGGTAATCCTTTTCTTTCATTTGTTTGATTTATACTTTTGTTTTCTAAATTAATCATTTTTTTGTCATAATAAGTTACACAATGCTGATACTTAGCATTAGTGAATGAATTTAATAGATATGTATTCAGAATACTTTTTGTATTCAGTTTGGCAGAAGAATGCCACTTTTATTTGGCAATGACCTGTGAGCATCAAAGCAACATTATGCCAAATTGCTGCCCTGTCAGATGTTGGTGTCTAATCTGCCAGATGATGGCAGTCTATAACACGTTAATTTGAACTTTGTCATGTGACATGATTTTACTTCTAAATCATTAGAATGCTTTAAAGTGCTTATTAGGATTTTATCAGAATAATATCAGTGTTACATATTCATCTTTAACAGGAGGAACTTACCCTTTTGGATGAACTACTTGTGAAGTACAAGATGTATAATTTTCATGCTATTGTATGCGTACAGATGGTTTTGTTCACTAGCCTACAGAACCTTGTGGTATATGTCTTACCCTTTGTACAGAAAACTCTTGGGATTGGTCTGTGTATGGAGAGGCATTTTGTTATGATCCCATTTGCAAGGTATGGGACTTGGAGTCCCACATTGGTTGTATGTGCAACCTATGAAGCACCGACACTTCAAAAACCCTAATGTGTCGTGTGCGACACTCTCCGACACTCCAACACGCGTTGTAGAGACTCAAAAAAAGGTTCAAAGGATGCGTTGTGCTGCGTTTTTAGTTGCAACTATTAGATTCGTTAGATTACGATTATCATTTTATTGAGTTTAATATAAATATTTGGGATATCTTATGTTTTTTTGCAAAATTGATGACTATTATAAGTTTAGCTTCATTTTTTTGTTAAATTATTAAATATTAAATATAATATACACTACAAAAATTAAAAATATTATTTAATATCAAAATGTGTCCTAACGTGTCAATGTCGTGTCCCTTGTCCCGTGTCAGTATCAGTACTACATAGTGGGCAACTAATGTGGGGTTTATAAAACCTTGGGCACTCTGTTACGGACTTAACAAATAATCCAGATCTTAACAAATAATCCAACAATTGGCAAAGGATTCAAAGGAAATTATAGCTGAATATTCCATTGATTCATATTCATATCAGAAATTACAGCTCGACAATAACAATTCCCACTGAAAAGAAAATTACAAGCTGAGTAAGAAATGCTAAACAGAATGAAAATGTTAAACAGAATGCAAGATAGTTGTGAGACAATTTTTAGAGGTCCCACGCTCTCCCAAAGACGTCACACTTTTCTGCCTACCTTCTTCCCTTCTCTTCCCACTAGATATAACCAACTTCATGCCACCTCATTGCTCCATTCTGTTACGGGTTATTGTGGGAATTTCCTCTTGTCTATTTGGGCCTGATTGTGTCCGGATCCATACGTGTCTGTCTTGACCTCTTTTATACCTCTTGTGCTGGATTGCATCAATACTCCCCCCCATTTTCAGAACCTTGTCCTCAAGGTTGAATTGAGGAAATTGATTTTTTATGACTTCAAACTCTTCCCATGAATTTTCAAACTCAAGCAGACCAGTCCATTTAATAAGAACCTGTATTGTGTCTTGAAGAGAACGTCTGACATCCATCAATTCTTCAGGCACCACTTCCAGCTCCCAATTTTCATTGAATACTGGAGGCAATGGTTGCACTGTTGCTGTTACTTTGATGGCTTTCTTAAGGAGGCTAACATGAAATACAGGGCGCACTTTGCAACCCGCTGGCAATTGCAAGTGGTAAGCAGTCTCCCCAATACGTTCTATTACTTGATAAGGGCCATAGAAGCGTGGACAAAGCTTTTCATTTATGCGTCTGGCAATTGTTTTGAGGCGGTATAGCTGCAATTTAAGGTATACCCAATCACCAACAGCGAAGTGGATATCCCTACGGTGTTGGTCTGCAAAGTGCTTCATCCGGTCTTGGGCCTTGAGTAGGTGGTGTTGTAAATCTTGTAAAATGACATCCCTCTCTGCTAGGGACTGAGACACAGCATCAACAGGAGCCACAAAAGTACCACACTTGAATAATCTCTACCATATAAAGCACGGAATTGGGTGGTACCTGTGACATCTTTGAAGGTAGTATTATACCAGAATTCAGCCCACGAAACCCATTTCAGCCAACCTTTTGGTTTAGTGCAGCAAAAGCAACGTAAATAAGCCTCTAGGCAGCGATTAACCACTTCAGTCTGCCCGTTGGTTTGTGGATGATAGGCCGAGCTGTAATGTAACTTAGTGTCGGCACTCTTGAAGATTTCCGTCCAAAAATTGCTCAAGAAAACTCTATCTCTATCCGAAACAATGGTGGCTGGAAACCCATGTAGACGAACCACTTCCTTTATGAACACTTCAGCTACGTCCTTTGCTGTATAAGGATGTTTGAGTGGGATGAAGTGGGAATATTTGGTGAAGCGGTCAACTATGACCAAAACTGTGTCAAACCCCATAGACTTAGGGAGGCCACCAATAAAGTCTAGAGATATGTCCTCCCAAACCTGAGAAGGAATAGGGAGTGGCTGCAGCAATCCAACTGGGGTCAAATTTTGTGCCTTACATTGTTGACAAACAATATACCAAGCCACATAATTCTTTATGTCCCTCCTCATGCCCTCCCAATAAACCACATCAGCCAGCCTCTTATAGGTTCGGAAATACCCAGAATGACCACCCATTCCCGAGTCATGGTACTCATATAAAAGAGAAGGGATGAAGTGGGAATTTTTGGGTACAACTAACATGTGATTGTAAAATAACCTCCCCTCCTTCACTGTGAAGCCTTTGTGTGCATCAGGGGCTATCAACAAGTCTTGCACAATGCCCTTAAGCTTCTCATCATGCTGAACTTCAGCTTCGAGCTCATCCAATGCTGTCCAGTGCACAGTAGATAAAGCCCCAAAAATCATTTGCCTTGATAGTGCATCTGCCACCTGGTTGTCTCTCCCTGGTTGAAATTGAATCTCAAAATCAAAACCCAAAAGTTTCACAACCCATTTCTGCTGTTCTTCACTCAGGACCGATTGATCAGTGAGGAACTTGAGGCTGCGTTGGTCTGTTTTGATAATGAAATGTCGACCCATGAGGTAGTGTCTCCATTTTCGCATTGCAAAGACTATGGCCATCAACTCTTTTTCGTATACTGACTAAAATCCTTGACTCATGAAAGCAATAGGCTTATTCTCTTGGGTCAGGACAGCCCCAATTCCTTTCCCGGAAACGTCAGTTACAACTTTAAAAGGCTTGTTGAAATTGGGAAGGGCTAACACTGGAACGGAACTCATCATTATCTTCAAATTCTAAAAACTAACCTCAGCCTTCGGGTTCCACTTGAACCCATCTTTTTTTCAGTAGCTCTGTAAGAGGTTTGGCCACCTTCCCATGATCCCTCACGAACTTCCTATAATAACCACTCAGCCCAAGGAAGCCTTTGAGTCCTTTGACGTTCCTAGGTGTTGGCCACGAAATCATAGCCTTAATTTTTTCAGGATCAGCCTTAACCCCCGTAGCAGATACACAATGACCCAAATACTCAATGTGAGTCTTACCAAAGGCGCATTTCTTTTGATTGGCCACCAAATGGTGCTGCCTCAACACTTCAAATACAGCCCTCAGGTGTCCCAGATGCTCCCTTTTACTGCTGCTGTAAACTACTATATCATCAAAAAAAACCAATGCAAATTTCCTTAGAAAAGGTCTAAGAATGTCGTTCATAAGTGCCTGAAATGTTGATGGGGCGTTGGTCAACCCAAAAGGCATCACTACATACTCGTAGTGACCCTCATGTGTTTGGAATGCTGTCTTGGGTATGTCCTCCACCCACATCCTTATTTGATGATAACCCGCTTTCAAATCCAACTTTGAGTAAATCTGAGAGCCCCCTAACTCATCCAGGAGTTCATCCACCAAAGGCATTGGAAATTTATCAGGAATGGTAATTTTATTGAGCGCTCTGTAATCAACACAGACACGCCAACTCCCATCCTTTTTCTTAACCAAAATGACTGGACTTGAGTATGGGCTGATGCTGTGACGGATCATACCATTGCTAAACAACTCAGCTACTAACATCTCAATCTCAGTTTTCTGATAATGAGGATATCTGAATGGGCGGACATTTGGCACTTGGCTTCCTGGCTTGAGGTGGATGGCGTGATCAATGGTGCGGGCTGGGGGCAGCTCTGTGGGTACCTTAAATATATCACAGAAATCGGACAAGAGTTGGTTCAACTCAGTCCACTTCCCTCCATCCTCCTGAACCTCCTCCTCGGTGGCATCAATATAGAACCCCTGTCCCTGGTCTCTCAAGGCTTTAGAAATAGACTTGTATGAAGCTTCTGATCTGGACAAGGAAAGATCCCCCTTAATTACTGTTTCTTTTCCCCTGTCCCCGTACTTGAGAGTCATTTCTTTGAAGTTTGCTTTGATCTCCCCCAGTTGAGTTAGCCATTCCAAGCCCAGAACAACATCAACACTACCTAATTCAAATAGGTATAAATCTTGCTTGATCTGTGTACCCTGAATGCTTAAGTCAACTCCTCTACATACCCCCTTACACTCAATTTTGTACCCGTTACCAATTTCAACCTGGTATGAAGGGGTGTCCGCGACCTGTAACCTGAGTTCCTCCACCATCTCTTTCTTTATGAAATTGCTTGATGCCCCACAATCAACCATAACCACCACCTGTTGATCCTTGATCTTTCCCCATACCTTCAATGTTTGGCTTGAAGAGAGCCCTAGCAAGCTTTGTAGGGATAGCTGTAATTGTTTGTCCGTCTCCGTAGCTTCCACCACCGGCTGTTCTCTTTCTCCCTCGCCGCTTCCATCCCCGTCCTCCACTTCATCGTCATCCACGATCAACAAGTGCAGCTGATGAACTTGACACTTGTGAGTTGGGTGCCAGCGTTCGTCGCACTTAAAGCACAACCCTTTTTGTTGATGGTCCCTCCATTCGGCCTGTGATAGTCGACGCATCTGACCGCCGTCGTTTTCTCCGGCGTGAGTTCCGGTGGAGTGGGTTGTGGGTTTCGCTCCCCCTCCATCATTAGGGTTCTCCATACTTCCGGTTCTTGAACTCGAAGATCCCACGTTTAGCTGATTAGAACCCGTGGCTGATGCATTGTTGTTGGGTTTGTTCCCATGGCCTGGGCCTGCACTAGAATTAGCCCAAGTTCTATTTTCATTTGGCCCACGAGTGCTCTACTCGGCCCTGAGGTCCAATTTCTCCCAATTGGACCCAAGCCTTCTTCCTTCCATGCTGCATTTCTTCGTTCCACCTTGATTGACAACTTCATCATGTCCGTCAAGCAAAGCGTCGGTGACATGAGCAGCTCTTCTTGGATACTGTTGCGCACTCCATTCAGCCATGCACCTTTGAGAAGATCTTCATCTTCAAAACGAAACGCTCCCACCATTTTTTCGAATTGAGCCCTGTACTCCATCACGCTACCACTTTGTTTCAGGATATATAATGCCTTGTAAGGATTATCAAGTGCTTCTAATTGGAATCGACTGAGCAATTCTCGCCGGAAAACTCCCCAGGTGGCATTCGGGTGGCTCGCCTCCCATTAGTGGAACCAGTGAAGGGCCTCCCCTTCTAGGACAACCAACACGGTGGCCACTTTCTCCGCCTCTGTTACTCCATTCACGGTGAAGTAACGCTCCACCTTGCTCAGCCATCCAAAGGCATCATCACCGGCAAAAATTGGAACCTCCAATCGTCGATTAGCTGAAAAATTAAGGTTCGCCCTTCTTCCACTCCTTCTTTCTTGTGACCCAGCATCTTCCTCCTCATTTTCTCCGTCCCGCGAAGGTGTTCGTCGTCTCTCAGCCATCGCGTCTAACCTCCTTAGCACCTCACTCATTCCCCGTTCATTTGCTCCCAACCGGTTAATAATTTCTGCATGTCGAGCTTCATTCTCGTCCAGTCTCAGTAACATCTCTTCATGCCTTGCGCATCCTCTACACATTCCCTCTTCAATCAAGTCCATCCGATGCTCCATTAGTCTCGTCACTACCATTCCCCAGAGCTCCTAGATCGGAGCTCTGATACCAATTTGTTACGGACTTAACAAATGATCCAGATCTTAACAAATAATCCAACAATTGGCAAAGGATTCAAAGGAAATTATAGCTGAATATTCCATTGATTCATATTCATATCAGAAATTACAGCTCGACAATAACAATTCCCACTAAAAAGAAAATTACAAGCTGAATAAGAAATGCTAAACAGAATGAAAATGTTAAACAGAATGCAAGATAGTTGTGAGACAATTTTTAGAGGTCCCACGCTCTCCCAAAGACGTCACACTTTTCTGCCTACCTTCTTCTTCTCTTCCCACTAGATATAACCAACTTCATGCCACCTCATTGCTCCATTCTGTTACGGGTTATTGTGGGAATTTCCTCTTGTCTATTTGGGCCTGATTGTGTCCGGATCCATACGTGTCTGTCTTGACCTCTTTTATACCTCTTGGGCTGGATTGCATCACACTCCCGCCCTTTGAGCTAGCTTTTGAGGTGGTGCACCCCAAGGTTCTTATAAAATAATATCAGAGTCTTCCACTATGCCTCCTGGTTGCAATCGAGCGGTGTGGGTGGTGACGCCGACATTGTAGGGTTCGCCCGGGGCTAGTAAAAGACTAGCGCAAAGCCAACCCGTGTGGGTGCTGGGGGCTACGGAGCGTGGTGGAGTGTTACGATCCCATTTGCAAGATATGGGACTTGGAGTCCCACATTGGTTTTATGGGCAACTAATGTGGGGTTTATAAGACCTTGGACACTCCCACCCTTTGAGTTAGTTTTTGGGATGATGCACTCCAAGGTTTATCACATTTGAAAAGGCACGGCTTTCATATTCATTGCAGAAAAGATAAAATCTTACATTTCAACTGCACTAGCCTACATTTATTTTTTTATTTTTTGCGTAAATTGTGCTTAAGTGATATAATATTGTTAACTGTAGTTGCTGAGTTATTCTGTTTCTGTACAAACCTTATGGTTCAAGTTTAGGTCCTCATTTCCTTTAATTTTAAATACAATATATTTCCATTGATCTATGAGTCTTGTGGACAGTTAATCAGCTTAAAACCTGGAAACAGTAACTGCTTTTCACTTTGAAGATGTGTTGTACCACTGGTGGGAAAGTTGTAAGCTTTGCGTAATTTTACTTGAAAGAAATTTAAAGCATCTCTTTTTGTGTTAATCAAGTAGATGCATGTTTTGGGATGCATGACAACTTTTGATATATTAAGAGTTTGTTGGGTGTCGAAACTTCTCTGTACTCTGTACTATTTTAACTTCAAGACATTTAACTCGATGTGTATATGTTGCTGGATTTTTACTCTTGATGCCCTTGAAAAGATGAACATATTTCTGTCCACTTTTGGGTTCTTTGCTCCAAATAGTTTAATGTTTTTGATATTAAAAAGTTTGGAAAGTATTTAGATAACGTCAAATTAAATTCTTGGATGCCGGTTTATCAAAAAAAAAAAAAAAAAATTCTTGGATGCCTGCATTCTTTGGCTTTCAATTTAAATTTGAATCTATTGCATCTAAATGTTGTTTTTTTTTTTAATGTAAATGTAATTATCTTATCTGCTTGTGGTAGTAACTACAAGTGGAAGACCTAATTCCTGTAACCTTATTACATGCTTTGAGTGAATAGTTACTTCAAATTCTTTCCGCATTTTTGAATGAATACTTTTTGTATCATCTGCGACTATCTCTGGCCTGAGCTATTAACAGAACTGATAATTATTTAGGATTATTGTCATTTTTACCTTGGTAATGCGGGCAGCGAAGACACTTGTGGACCACGGAGGGGTGCGACCGATAATCCTAAGTTATTTGTTATTCGTTACCTAAGGAATAGTAGTGCTTTTGATACGAGGACACAGGAAATGACAAAGTGGAAATCAATACTTGTCCAAGATATAATCAATGATTCTGATCAGGCAGGCCAGTTTGTAGCTGGGTACAAGGGTGCAGCTGATATTCCAGAGGTTTGCATTTTTACAGTAGAATTTTCACGTTGAGAAATTGTGCTTTGTGTGATTCTTGCGTTGTCTGCCATGTCTAGTTTTTACATTTCTTTTGTAAATTAATTGTATATCATCTTATTTCTTGTGAAGTATCTTTTGTGCTGTAAGAACTACGTATGTACAATGACGTAAATGTAATGCACAGTTCTCTTAAGATATCTTCTAATTTTCTTGTTTTTAGCAGATAATCCACTGGCTTGCAAGTATAATAGCCGATGGTGACTCCAGAGATTTGCCATTCTTTGTAAGTTTTTTTAACTTTGTGAATAAGTTTTGTTGGCTAGCAATAATGTAGGAATTCACATTCAATGTTAAATTAGTAACCTGGGTTGCTTCCTCTACGTCCTTAGAGCAAGTATTTTAATTTGATTCTGGTTACTGGTGCTTTACAAATGTGCCTCATGACTTCAAATATTACATTTTATGTGATCATAATTTCACAAATGTCCAGGTTGATGCTTTGAAATGAGAGATAGTTGTTGATTGGATTAATTCTATACTATAGCTTGCTTATTTTGCATACTTGTCCTTTTGCAGACACTACGAACTCCTAAGCTTGTTCCAGATGACGCAGAACCTATTTGGTCCAAAACTGCACAGAAGATACCTTTGAAAAATATGAAGCAGAGTATTCTGGGTGGTGTTAGTGGACTCTCTGTTTACCTTGAGGATCCAAGAATTGGTCCTTTTTTACTTCTGGGAGCACTGATTTCTATGGGTACCATCTGGCTGCGAAGGAGCCAAAAAGTTCAGCTATCTAAGTCAAAGCAACCAACTCAACCTAGTTCCAAGGTAACTTTTGGGTTTGATGTTCTTATCCTTTCATATTTTCAAAATCAAGGAGTTACTTGTATATTTTCGCTCTGACAGGCACCTTCCAAGGATGAAAGAAAACAGAAACCAAGAGACCGGGTTCGGAGTCGGTCAAATAAAAATCAGCCTCCTTCTATGACAGATTTTGATCCACCGGATGCTTATCAGATGCCACTCTCAGATTCTGAATCTGAGTAGTTTCAATTCAGTTTCTCATTGAAGGAAAGGAGCTTTTGTAGACTTGTGTTACATCGTCCGAAGGTGAAGCTCTTGATTTGTGTTCTTATTTTGGAGCCTTGTAATACAAGATTGCCACCACCATGTCAACAAGAGATTGGGACCCCTGGCTGGCACATACTCCTGATGCCAGTTATTTCAAAAACCAAACGTACATTTTATATGTAAAAAAATGGGGATTGGATCCTTTCATTGTCTTGTGAAAAATCTCAAATATTCATTGATAGATGAACAATGATAATTTTAATGACGAAGTTCGGGTAAATAGAAAATGATCATTTTAATTACTGATTAGTGGTCCATAAATGAATAACTGAAATTTTTCACGACATATTTATTAAAACAAGACCAGGGGGAGGATTCATTCCCATCAAAATCAGACAGGGTTTGACTGTTCCAAGCATAAATTTGTTTGATTTACTGTTCCCATTGGAACATTTATTCACGTCTGTCAATTCATTAAGCTACATGCTTTATCCAAAATTGAGATGTTTACCGAATGGGCATAAATGAAGTACAGAAAAGTTAATCGTAAACCCGTTAATAAAACCTGACAAATGATTTTTAAACGGATCCAGTTGACCAACCGTATTGAACGTACGTTGGCATGTAATACTAAGCTGTCTTCATTGTAACGATATTTTTATAATAATTAGTTATCTTAATGGCATATTGCTCGAGTTGTTTAAATTAGATATTTATAATTATGATTTTCTATTTAACAGACAAATGTTTAGTATATATTTAAATTAATTAAAATATTTTAAAATATATTATTTAGTTAAAAGTGTTAAATATATTGTAGCAATATTTACATGTCCCAGTTAATTTCACATATATAATTTAAACGAAAAAGATTATTTTTATTTTTTTACACGTTAGCTAATTTTTTTTAAAAAATATGGAAACTATTTATAATAATAATTTTTTAATTTTTTATCTTACAAAATAATTTTTTGATTTCATCTTATTTACATTCTTTTAACTTTTTCTCGAAAACATTATATATAAATCAAATTTTTTATCTACTATATTATTTTTTACTCATAAAAACTTTAAAATGAATTATTTTAATACTATGGAGAAAATAGAAACATATCATATATAATATATATATATATATATATATATATATATATATATATATATATATATATATATATATTCAAGAAAATTATAACATTATAAAAAAAAATTAGTTTAACGAACTTTTTTTTTTTAAAGTAGAAAAGATGAAAAAGTGAAACATATAAATGAAATAAATAAAAAGCGATATAATATAAATATTAAAGTTTAAATTTTTTTTAAAAGAACTTTTATAAAATACATAAGTACACGAAGACATTAAGATGAAAAAGTAGTACTTCTTGCATTTGGAGACAATGTGACTTGTGACGCAAATTAATTCATGAGTGAAAGGTATCAAAGTCAAGAAGAGAAAGAAAGAAAGTAACAAGAAGGGAAGAATATGACAAAGAGAAAATGATTCTATTCTCTTTCTTTTGATTGTAAAAATGACTTGATGATTTATAAAGTAAGACTCAATCTTTATTTATAGATTGGTCCGGTGCTAAGTGACTTATTACAAGTTTGTTAGATACACTAACTAACTTTATTTTGTTAAATCTCCTAACTGAATTTATTGGGCCATTCATTGGGTCACTGGCTTTCATCCCCCCACAAGCAGAGTGGGCTTGAAATTAGAGACCCGAAGCTTGGACTTGAAATCAGCAAATATTGATTTGGGCACAGCTTTAGTAAGCCCATATGCCAGTTGATCTCGAGCTGGAACATGATGAACAAAAATGGTTTTAGCCATCACTTTCTCACAGACAAAGTGAAGATCAAGCTCAAAATGCTTGGTATGAGAGTGAAAAATAGGATTGGCAGTGAGAAGAACTGCAGAGAGATTATCACAATACACTGTGGGAGGTCGAGTAATTCTAATTTGAAGTTCTGAAAGTAAGGATTGTATCCATATGAGCTCAGCAACAGTGGAAGCTAGACAACGATATTCAGCTTCAGTACTCGAACGGTTGACAACAAGTTGCTTTTTCGAAGACCAAGTGACAAGATTAGATCCAAGAAAAATGCAGAATCCACTAGTTGAGCGACGATGATCCAGATCTGAGTCCCAGTCATAATCACAATAAGCTGCTAAGTGAAAATTGTTAGAGGGATTAATTGTAAAGCCATGCGACACTGTGCCACTAAGGTAACGAAGAATACGTTTGACTGTTTTCCAGTGTGTGTCAAGTGGTGCATGCATGAACTGACATACTTTATTTACACTGAATGTGATATCATGTCTGGTAATGGAAGCATATTGAAGAGCACCAACTATGGAACGGTATTGAGTAGGATCAGGATGAGGAGAGCCATCGTGAGATAACAGTTTGACACTTGACACCATGGGAGATGGCATGGACTTGTAGTATGTCATATTTTCTTTCTTGAGCAGATCCAAGATATATTTGGACTGATGAAGATGATAACCTCCTATTGTTGTTTTGGTAGCTTCAATTCCGAGAAAATAATGGAGATGGCCAAGATCTTTCAGTGCAAAGGCACTGTTGAGAACAAATTAAAGATTGAATAGCTGAGGAGCAAGAACCAGTGACAAGAATGTCACCAACATACACCAAGACAAAAAGTGTGGTATGTTGGTCCCAGATGAACTCAAGATGGGGGGTGAATTGAGTTTTATAAAAATAATTCGCTAATTAAAATTAACTCAAAGCAATAAATCAAGATAAGGATAGAGAGATATTAACACAATAGTTTTTACGTGAAAAACCCAAAAGGAAAGAAAAACTACGGGCCTTAAACTCGAATACTGAAATTCGACTGGAAACTCCACTATGAAACTTGTGTACAAAGAGTTCTCTAGTATCCTAGTTTCCTAGTCTACCCCTTACACAAATTCCTAAACTGGTATCCTAGTTTCCCAGTACGAAATCCTAACCCTTTAGGATTCTGAAACCCTGTCGCACAAGGGTTCTCAACTTACTCTCAATTTCCAAGAAAAAAAGACATACTGGTATCCTAGTTTCCCAGCACAAGAACTGGTATCCAAGTTTCCCAGTACAGACCTTCAAAAAGGTCAAGAAGAAATTTACAATTAAATGAGTTACCTCAGTGCTTCTTTTCCTCAAGTATATAGGTAATCTGAATTCCTATGGAGAAATATTCACTTTTCCAAAGGATGAATGTGTGAATGAATGTTCTTGAGAAAGTTCTTCAATTGATGCACAAGAAAGAATTCTAATTTTGAAAATCTAATTCTCTATTTTCTTTCTTGTATATTCTTCTCTCTTCTCTCTCTTGTATTTTCTCCACACTAAAATAATATGCAATGAGCCCTATTTATAATAATAACATCTTAATCTATTATGCAATGCAATCCTAATCAAATCTTTGGCAAAGAATATTTTATTTCTCTTAATCTAAAAAGATAAAATATATCCTAATCTTTACTTGATTCCATGCTTTTCTATCTTTTCATTATATCTTCTATATCTTCTCCAATCTTTATGCAATCTTCAATTATCTTGAATATTGATCCCATGCTTTTCTCTATCTTCATGATATCTTCTTCAATCTTCATGTAATCTCCAATTATCTTGAATACTATTTCAAATCAGAATAAATATTATTCTGAAATCTCAAACAATCAGCTCATTAGTAATTTCAAGAATATAAAATATTATCAATTAAATTAACATTAAATTGATTGTAATCATCAAAACATATTCTAAATCAATTAAACAATTGGGGTATAACAAATATCCAACAATTTCCCCCTTTTTGATGATGACAAACAATTTATGTCATGTACTCAGAAAAACTAATTCGTTACAGATATAACATGAATGCTCAATGATGATTGCATGAATACTATTCTCCCTGACTTTGTTAAGCTACAACTAAATTATTCTTTACAAAATATGGCATCCATTCCCCCCTTTTGGCATCATCGAAAAGATGAAGAGTAAACACTTAAGATAAAGAAGGAAAGCTGTCAAGGTAGCATGAATAGGGAGTAATAGCTTAATAGTGAAAAACATTGAAGAGTAAGAATGTAAAAAATGATGAAAGGCAACAAAGGAAAACATTCCAAAGCATATACAATAGCAATGCAGTAATTTGCCTTTGCACTCAACTTTATAATCACTCTTGTTTCTTATTCTCTAAGCTTTCCATAGGCTTGTACCTCATGACTGCTCTCCACTCTTAGTGTTGGAATATTTCATAAGCCACCAAATCAATAGGACTTTAAAGCTTGTAATGTAACAAGTGGATATGAACAAAAATAAAATAGTATCAGGGTAAGTAGAAAATAAAGAAGAGATAGTACAGTTATGCATAGTCCCTAAACCTTATCTTTTGATATTCTCAATACTATTTTCCATCATGAAGATATCTTTTTCTTTTTCTACTTTTCTAAGTTTCCATTTTCATATGACTAACACTCAAAAACAGGGTTTTTTTTTAAACTCAAATGAAATTTGTTCCCCCTGAATTTGATATTCCTTTTTTTTCATTCCTTTTTTTTCATTCCTTTTTCTTTTTCTTTTTCTCATTCTCACTTTTTCAGTTTTCTTTCTTTTTCTCATTCACATTCTTTTTCTTTTTCTTTTTCCTTTTCTCATTCCCCTGTGTACTTTTCTTTTGTACTCTAACAATTCATCCACTCAATTTAGAAACTATGCATACCCATACATAAAAAGGTTTGTAACAATTAAAATACAAAAGGCTGCATATGAGATTTAATCAAAAAAAATAGGCTGAAGGCTCAAATGGGGTAAATAGAGATAAAACTTACTGTTAAGGTTGGCTTGAGAAGCTCAAACGACCAAAGAAGGCCTATATCATTTTCAATTACTCATGAAACATCCCAACTAGCGAGCCTTGAGCTTCACTCATACAAGTTCTAGATTGCTTCCTCACAAAGAAAATCACACATAGATATATATATATCCTCACAAACATGGCAAACAACCACAAAGTTAAAGTATACACTTCAGAATGCATGTAACTAAAAATCATGTGAAGTGAATGGTGAGGCAAATATAATTGAATATGGTAGTGAAGAAGAAAATAGGTCAACAAATATCAAGAGTGCTTTATCTATCATCAAAACTAGCCAATCACTTGGGGGAGAAAAAAAAGTTCTCAATCAATTTTTTTTGTTTTTTATATTATAGTACACATCTCAAGCTTTCCAACAAAGTATAGATCACTGAAATTGGAGTTCTACAACTCAATATATAACCAGTTAAAGTATGCTATCTAAAAATAGAGTAATCAACATTCCAGTCACGTTGACAGATCAACTAAGAATATTATACACATCCAAAAATTCTTAAATTTTCCAGTTTTAAATCTTATTAAGTTAGCTTTTCAATTCCACTGGTTTCATGCAAAAAGGATTTGTATAACTCAAGTTATGACTGTTTAAAGTTAACTAGTTCAAAACAGTCTGTATATTTGATTTTTAATTTTTTTTTTTTATCTGTCACTGAATCTGCTATTCATATAACTTGTGTTTATGGTTTAGGAGTGATAAGAGTCTGAAGCAAACTCTGATCACTCCATTGAAATACCTGAGTTTTTCTTTGATCCTGAACCAGAACGTACCTTTCACAGAAGAAGAAACCTCAGGGAAGAAATTTTTAAAAATATGGTTGATCACAACAATAATGAAGAAATTCCTCCTGAACAAAATTTCAGGAATTTGGCTACTCCTTCCAGGAACAGACCAAATAGGGGAGTAATCCTCCATCCTGTAGCACCTAATTTTGAACTTAAACCTATCATGTTTCATATGATTAAGGAAGCTGGAGTCTTCAATGGACTCCCTGCAGAAGACCCTTACACACACCTCACAACCTTTCAAGATATTTGTGATAACTTTAAAGCTGAGGGTGTGACAGAGGAAATCATGAGAATGAGGTTGTTCCCTCACTCCTTGGGCTTAAAAGTAAAAACATGGATGAAAACTCTCACCCCTGGATCAATACACTCATGGGAGGAACTCTCTAACAAGTTCATAGAGAGGTTTCTCCCTATGTCTCGACAAGCTGATGTAAGAGCAGAAATCTCTAACTTCAGGATGTTTTATGGAGAAAATCTCTATGAAGCCTGGGAGAGATACAAGGACATTATCAGAAAATGTCCAAACCATGGGGTAGAGAGTTGGGGAGTATTACAATCTTTCTATAAAGGACTTGACCATACTTCTCAGTCACATTTAGATTTTGCTGTAGGAGGAAATTTTTTTACAGGAACGCTTGAATCCAGGTATGAAATTGTAGAAGGCACTGCAGAAAGATGTCTCTAATGGCCAATAGACAGGGTGAGCCCAGTAAGGAAGCCTGGCATGCTAGAACTAGACAAACAAACTGCCATGGAAGCCTAGTTAGCCTCACTCATAAATGAGATGAAGAACCTGAAAGATGATCAAGAAGCACCAATGATGGAAGTCTTACAACTCACAGCAGCTGAAACTGAACCATGTTCGGCCTGTGGTGACCTTCATGATTCAACAGACTACCCATCTACTGCATTGGTGTGTTATGCAGAAAACTTTGGCAACAGGATCTTCACCAGAGACAATCAACAAGCAGGACGCAACACCAATTCAACTCCCGGAAGAACTATCACCAAAGATCAAAACCATAACCCCCAATGGAGGCCACCTATGAACCACAGACCATTTAACACTCAGCAGCAGCAGTACCAGCAAGGCAGCAGCAGTGGAACGTTTGAACAACAAAAGAGAAGCAATTATATTCCGCTCCACAGAGATGACCAACGCATCAACACCCTGGAAAATTATGTCAAAGAATATGTCACCAGGAATGATGCAGTGGTTAGGAACATTGAGTCCCATCTGGGACAGATTGCTTCCAGTCTCAATACAAGAACACCAGGGAACGTTGACATTCCCTCAACAGCCTCACCAAAAGAAGTACTTGTTTTGCCCAATTCCCCTTAAGAGCAAATCAAGGCTGTCACCTTGAGAAGTGGGAAAGCCACTACACAACCCACCACTCTGCATGAGGAGGAAGAGCGGAATAAAGCATCTGAGGAACCCAAAAAGAACAACAACCAGCCACCGATGAACAGTGTAACACCCCGTATGCATCCGGTTTGTTAACATGTCATCGTATTAAGCCACGCTTAATTAAAAAATGCGGAATATCTTTTTCTGTTCAATTATGGCGTCATTATTCTTAGCCAAGTTGATTACTTAATCAATTTTCATAAAACATCGCCTGTATGATATTGCAAGAGACAACTAACTGAAATACCTCAAAATATAAGTAACGGTGAGTATCTAAAATCACGGAACTACAACACGTAGTCCAGACATAATCCTGATACATTATTACAACACGAATCTAAAACAAGACACAGTAAAAAACAATGTGGCATGGACAATCCTCATGTTCACCAAATAAGACAACACAGCCCAACAACAGTTTCATCAACAGCCACATAATAAATAAGCTAACAACAAAAGCAACAGACATGTCCAGCATCCAAGCATAATCATCAAATCATCATATAAATCAGCTAAGCTATGGCCTCCTGCCGCTAGAGGTCTCAACCCCCGCATTACCTGAACCTGAAAATGGTGCCCCAAACGTGGGGTGAAATCTCTAAAAAGAAATCTTAGTAAGACAAGGGGTCCTCAAGGATCTTCCACCCCAAGCTCACTTACATGTGCAATATAAGTTCTAAAACAGTTTAAACAATATAAGTTCCAAAGTGAGTGTAATGCACAGATAACCATGTCATGTGTGTCAATATATTCTACTGGCCAGAGAAATGCAGGATATACGTCTATCTCCTACAAATAGTGCAAGACGCTACTTGCATCCACCCCAGTCTCACCATCTTGTATGACGCTACATACTCAGGCTTACCGTCAAAGTGGAACAACACATACATATTATAAGGCCTTTACACTTAACAGTTCAAAAACATTCCAATCATCAAGCATGAAAACACAGCATGCATATAAACCATTCCCCCATGGGGTATGGTGGAACCAACAATGGCTAAACCGAGGACATGAAAGCTTACCTCTTAAGCAATACGTCCAAACCAAGAGCTCACACTAGCTCAAGCCCACAATCAGCACAATCACAATCTGTTTATACAGTAATTAATCATCAATAACCATTACTCAAGGTTACATTAAGTGATTAAGGCTTTTCATCTCATTTTAAGTCATTTCATGTTGTTTCTGCAGGAGGTATTCGAATACTCCACGATGAGTATTCGAATACTCCAGCTCTCCAGAAAGTATTTGATTACTTGCATTTAAGTATTCGAATACTACCAAGTATTCGAATAATTTTCCCCCCAGTATTCGAATACCACAGTATCCAAATACCAAACCTCACTGTATTCGAATACTTTCTATTATTCGAATACTTCTTCAAAGGTATCCGAATACTTTTCTTCCCAGAAAAGTATTCCAATACTCCTGCAAGGAGTATTCGACTACCAGTTTAAAACTACGATTGCAACCCTTTACCAAATACTCTAAGATTTTAATATGTTAAACTAGACATCTCAAGCTTTCCAACGACATATTTTATGTCTCAATCGAAGTTGTATAACTCCGGTTATGATTTTTGCAAAGTTCCTATAACAAACTGAATTTCCAGCAATATGGTCGCAACTTCAAACATAAACTGAGATCAATCCAATTATCCAATAGATCTAAAAATTTACAGGGTTGTAGCCCTATGTGTTAGCTTCACATAGGTCCAAACCTCACTCAATTTAAAGCTCTGTAGCTCAAGATATCACAATTTAACTACAGTATATCGTTGTTGTCTCGCGAAGTATTCGATTACTGCATTTTTTCAGAAAGTATTCGAATACTACCCGAAAAGTATTCGAATACTTCTTCGACAGAATGCAGAAAACTGAGTTTTAAAGGTATAATTGACCTCCAATGATTCAAACTCGATCTGGAGTCCAAGAACTCCAAAAACAGATGTTCATATGCATGTTAGGGACTCAGAAACACATTCATTTTATCAAATGGTTCAAGTTACAATTTTTAATTGCTTAACAAGCTTAAAACGTCAAAAACACAAGGCTATGATCATGGTATACCTCAAAGGCTCCCAACTCCAAAAATGAAGCACACAAAGGGTCCTTTACTCAGCACCACAAACTGACTTCTCAAGGCAAGCGAAAATGTGATCAAAGGTGGTTCTTTCACTTCAAAGATCAATCCTTGAAGCTTCCAAAGGCAAGGAAATGGCTCTCACCAAAGATGAACACCAACACAACCCCCAAAACCCCTCACACAACAGCCTACACTTACAAAACAAGGACCTTTCACCCACACAAGGCTTGTCCTCACAACACTCTACTATAATGAAAAAGGAACAAAGAGCAAAGGAGGTCCCTTTGATGGAGTTCAAGAAGAAAAGGCTATGGAGTGGTAGAGGGAGGATGGCAATGGAACAGTAAAATCTGGTCAGCCTCCAACTCACGTAGCATAAAACAAGTGCCTAGGGTTTTGAGCCAAAGTGAGTATTTATAGCTCATTTAAGATTAAACACACAGTATTAGCGCTAATTGCTACGCTTAGTATTTTAATCTCAAACTTTGGAATCTGATCCTACTCATTTTCTAAGATTTATCATATTTTTATTTTATTTTTCGCAGCACCTTTTCGGTACGCGCTTTTCCATAGCCAGTATTAGTTCTGGCACCAGTTTTCATTATTATGACCTGAAACTTGTTTTACTAGTCCTATATAATATTCTAGGAATATTCATGCACTTATTATAATTTTCCGGGATACATCACCCGTACGCATTTATACCGGGTAGCATAACCGGTATCTGCACTTTTCGTCAGAAAAGCGACTTTCAGCATTATTACTCACTTACTATAATTATTAAAGCCTCATAATAATTATTAGGGTCCCTCATGGAATTATTTCCTAATTTCTCTTAATTAATTAATTAACTTCCTTAAATAACGGTGCAGGTTCTTACAAGCAGGACCCAAAGCTTGGAAAAGAAGCCAAATCCGACGCAAACCAGGTGGACAGAAGTCAACCAATCAGTCCAACTCAAAGCAAGCAAATACAAGTAAAAATCTCTTTCCCTCAGAGAACAAAGAAGAAACAGGATGACAAACAGTTTGGAAAATTCCTGGACATTTTAAAACAACTCCACATCAACATACCTATGGTGGACGCACTAGAGCAAATGCCCAGGTACGTAAAATTCATGAAAGATGTTCTCTCCAAAAAGAGAGGGATAACAGAATATGAGATTGTGAAAATGACACAAGAAAGTTGCCAGTATTTGGGCAAACTCCCACCTAAGCTTCAAGATCCAGGAAGCTTCACCATTCCTTGCATCATAGGAAATACATACCAAGGGAAGGCCTTGTGTGATTTAGGGGAAAGCATCAATCTCATGCCTTTATCTGTTTTCAAACAATTGTCCACTGGACCAGCTGAACCAACCACTGTAACATTAAAAATTGCAGAGAGATCTATCGTCAAGCCAGAAGGGAAGATTAAAGATCTACTAGTTAAAGTAGACAAATTTATCTTGCCCGCTGATTTCATCATTTTGGATTATGAAGCTGATATTGATGTTTCCATCATTCTGAGTAGACCGTTCCTAGCAACTGGAGGAGCAGTTATCAATGTACAAAAAAGGGAACTGACCATGAGAGTTCATGATGATAAAATCAAGTTCAATATCGTTAAAGCAATAAAGTTCCAGGATG